GTATTATACGAGTAAAGTCAATGAGGCCGAATCTTTTCGAAACCGAAAGCAAGAAACTCACCCTGCAATATTATTGGTTACATAGGGCAATATGAATGCAATATAATACGCATTGTTGTCCAAAGGTTAACCAAATGGATACCTTCATAAAAATAAATAAAAATGCGTTCGTCTTATTGACCTACACCTGAAAGTGAAACCTTAGCGTGTATTGTGATTATGATTGTGATTATACTCCATTGTGGGAACCGATACTTTCAATGAGTACTTAATATTCACTTGATTTTACTCACCTACCTTTATTTTGCATGATGTAGTTACCTACCTTGTTCTGTTATCATATATATTCTGTTTAAATTGGTTTCCTCATTGTCCTCCACGGGAAAGACCGTAGGACCTCCACGACAAGTAAGTATATTCTGGGCCTGGGGTTCCTTCAATTTCGTAGGTACCTACGCAAATATTTACATGTACATTGTAATTTGTAACATATTGGGATATTATTGGGGCAGTGGCGCTGTCAATTAACCTTTGTCCTAAGGGCTAAGTCTAAGGTCATTTTTATTGGATTACAAAACTCGCTGAAGGTACGGACAGCGTGGAGATTAATAATGTTTGGCAAACTTAAGTTGCACCAACTTAAGTTATGCTACTCGTTATCTGTCACGAGTCTGTTTGTTCCTGAAGGAATAAATTGTGTTATGCTTAATGTGGTCCATCGACCGATAGAAACGAAATATTCGTGAATTACCGATGTCGATGAAATACATTTAAAAACCAGTACGATTGACCAAAAGGGTGTGATGGGGTTGTCATATAAAAATGAAGGACAGAAAAATATGAGCAATGAACAAAGCAACGTATTCAAAACTATTTTAAAGAATATCGTAAAATAAAGCAAAAGAATTTATTGTTAATTTTTGTACAAAATAAGCTGATTCAATTGGGATGTGACTGGAAATGGATTAATCGGTTAAGGAATAATATACTAACTATGGACTACAATATCATATTTTCATTTAATTTCATTTTTATTAAAAAAAATACGGGTGTTAACAAATAACTGACAACAAAAATGATATTCGTATATTGTACATTAGCCCCGATTCTATAGAACTTTTTTTTAAGGTTGGAAAGTCATCGACCGACTGCTCCCGCTTGACTGAAAACCACCCTGTTCCTTCTTCTGCACGTCGAGCCGCAGCCCCGGTAATGCGTTAGGTTCTCCGCGACTAATATATCAATGTCTAAGACTTAACGGGTTGCCGGGGCTCCGGCTCAAAGTGCAGGAGTAGGTTGGCACCAACTGCTTACCAAATATCCTATGGCATATGGCAGAACTACGAATATCAGCCAATGTTCGAATTTGGAGAAAGTTTTCATTTAGCCCCTTCTGATACAGCACAGCAATATACTATCTTTAGCATTTTTGCTATATATAAGTAATAGGCGTTTCAACTTTATTTTTAAGTTACCTACTACTGAGCTATACTTTATGCCACATAATATATGAATCTGATGACTTTTGAGTTACATACAAGTACACTGAAATTTAGATTGTGTTATACTGTGAATCTTGTCGTCATCTTCATGAAGACGTCCACTGCTGGACAAAAGCCACGTGTTCTGTGTGCATCTCTTGCTTGGAAACAAATGCGTTTGTTATAGGTACTCCCTTTCAGACTTAGTTCTACTAGAAAAATTTAAGTTGGAGGCAAGCGTCTTCTGAGGTTTATTACTGGGAGTCCGACTTCACGTGCCAAAATTTTAAATTTATTAAGTAGTCTCCTTATTCTTAAGCTGAGGTTTGTACCTCACATGCATTTAAGAGTTTTCTAACCTGATTTATATTAGGTATTTAATTAGGAAGTGCAAAGTTTCCAGTTGTTAGTTCTTGTAGATCTAACAATCATCAAGGCATTTGTCTTCTGACGAAAATTTACGAATTAAATGCTCTAGTTGAAGACCTTGCATTAATTGCACAATATTTTTTAGAACATTACTAGTTATTCTGGTAATCTAGTCTCTGACAATCCAGTCTGGTGAGGTATTTTCTTGAAGGATAATATTTCTGTGACGTGGTAGTCTAAAACATGTGAGGTACCTAGTTGTTAAACCCATATCAATAAGTGGTAAATTGCGCATAGATCATAAAATCTACGTTACGTTATATTTTCTGCAGAATGTAATAACATCTAAGTAATAAACCTTTACCGCAGGTAGAGTTTATCAGGAAAATATTGAATGCATTATGTTGGACGTTTGTATTGAATCACTTTTCCTACGAAAACAGCTATAGTGTAGGACCTCGTGGGTTAAGAACTAGAGAAGCGTAAGGGCAAAATGACAACTTCTCAGGAGAGCCGAAAAACAACTCAAATTTACCTACCGTTATCTTATAGCTCTTTTATAGCAAAAACTATACGAGTTAGAGATTTGATTTTTACGAATAATAAAGCTTTATTTATCGGCTACAGAATAGTGTAACTTTTTGGTCAATTAAAAAACGGGTTCATTTTAATAAACTACAATTTTCAAAAACAGGTTGACATACGTCATTTTGGCTGTTATATAAATTCAATAATGTATGGAATGCAACAGAACTTCCGATAAAATGGCTTTAAAATAATAACAAAAATCTAATAAAATTAATAATTTATCGTGGATACCTTTAAAATTTAATCAATAAATAATTCTTGTATAAACTACGTTTAAAAAACCGACTTCAACCGCCTCTATTTCTGCAGTCGATTAATATAACTCTAACCTTCTCCGAAGTGTCACTTTTCTGAAAATTGGTTTAACCAATCGCAAGATATCCGCGCACAAACATACATACATATATATTACATATGTTACAAGGTAAACTGAGAACTTCCTTCTTTTTTTAAAGTCGGTTAAAAATAATAATTCAAATTCAAATCATTTATTGTGAATATAGGTAAAGTGTAGATTTTATAGTAGTTATTATAAAATAATTTGAGCAGCAACATTCTTCATTTAGCATGACATTATTCGTGTTTGACCTGCAAGTGGCTGTAAAAATTATGATATGTTGAAGGAACATCTCCAGATCGACACAGCTAGAGCTGTGTCGATCTGGAGATCTGGAGCAAATCGTTGTACCTACTCAACTGCTAAAAAGCCTTCGTTTATAAAATACTAGCTTCTGCCCGCGACTTTGTACGCGTAATCCCATTTTGTCCCGTCCCCGTTCGTGATTTTCGGTAAAAAGTAAAAAAAAAGTATCCTATGTCGGTCTCCTGGCTCTAAGCTACCTCCCTACCAATTTTCAGCCAAATCTATTCTGCCATTCTTGAGTTATAAGTGGTGTAACTAACACGACTTTCTTTTATATATATAGATTTTATTGAAAGATGTGGTAGGAATAAGACAAATAGCTTGCATTTTATATTCAGCGGAATAAATTTCATCCTCCAGAACAAGTTTCATAGCCTCATAGAATAGGAGGCAAACGAGCAAACGAATCACCTAATGATAAGCGATTAGCGCCGCCCATGGACACCCGCAACACCAGAGGAGTCACGGGCTTGAACTTTTCCCTATAAATGAGCTTCTTGTTCACTTTTTTTAGCTTATTTCTCTTCATCATTCATATTATCATATGCAAACCATTCATCGCACATATCTGTCCGTGGCTTATGTACGCCAATATTAAAATCTTTTTCTAGAATATCGCCATACATGTTTATTTTAACAGGTTCTACCTCATCTTCATCTTCCTTGAACTTATGAACATTATAGTTCATAAATCTTCGTGACAATAAGGTCTTGGTCAAGGTACACTTTTTTGGTATCTTTTCTAATGTATGCGCGGAAAACAGCTAATGTGGTCTTTGTCGTACTGTCTAGCACTTTCCGGAGTTTCATTGTTTTCATGACTGCACGGTTGGTGCGGTGTGGTTGGGCAACCGGCTGCCGTGCAACGTGTCGCGGGTTCGATTCCCGCACGGAACAACACTTTGTGTAATCCACAAATTGTTGTTTGGGGTCTGGGTGTCGTTGGGTATATACAATGTATGTGAACTTGTATGTTTGTAAACGCACCCACGACACAGGAGAAAATCCTAAGGTGGAGCAACGTTTAAAAAAAAAATTTTGTGTGAACCAGAACCAGCCACCCCCTGTATCTTAACCTAAAGTTTTTAGGGTCAAATTAACGTACAGTAGTATTAGACGCGAAAGTGAATTAGACCAAAAGCGATTTATTACGTGCTAAAGAAACGTATATAGCTTTTACGTTATTATTGACATAAAAACTGCTTGTATTATTTAATTTATTTAGTGCCGTAACAGCGCATCCCACCCTTACGTTTTTCTGGCAGGAATAAAAATGATAGGAACTTGCGAAACAAAGACCCATAAGCAGTAACGGTACTTTACGTTTATTTAGCACGATACAAACTAAGGCTACATAATCAAACTGTCTGTGATAATAACGTATGACAACATACGTTATTTGCGCGATTATATTAACGCCATATTTAGTATCCTATTAGCTCTGTAAATCGAGTTACGATTGTTATACTCGTAATTTTTTTGACAAAATTGAGTCAAGATTATTGTAAGTAGAAACACTTCATTTTGGCAATAAACAAATGACTTTTTTTTCTATACGTTATTGTTGTACTAAGCAATCTACTCACTACATCGTTCCAGTTTTTTGGCACATAAAAATATAGGAATTAAAAAACCGAATGGCGAAAAAAAAATTTTTTTGCATTTTTGCCCTTACGCTACTCTGGTTCTTAACCCACGCTATAAGAGGACCTATAGTAGAGTAAGTAGGAAAAGCCACATTGTAACATAATCCTGCAGTGTCAGTTCATTTGCTTAGAATCACAAGAAACGCTATTGGTACAATAAAAACCTGAGGCTCACCGTCGTTTGTTATCATTTCGTGTTTGCTTTCGAAGCAGCGCGATCATCTGCATGCGGCCACGTCAAACCGGTTTCATTTATTAGACTACTTTAGAAAAATGTTTAAGCCTATTGTGATATTCGTTGCTTTAAATTTTCTTTTAACGATTTATGTCAGTGATGTGAAGAGCGAGAAACAGCCGGTGGTACGGACCCCGCTAGGCGAAGTAGCAGGGTACTACATGCAAACTAGAGGAGGGAGGCAAATAGCAGCATTTACAGCTGTCCCCTTCGCGCTTCCTCCCGTCGGAGACTTAAGATTTAAGGTAAGTTAATTATTTCAAACTCTATAGATATTTGCAAATTGCAACGGTGAATCTTATAATCTATTGTTGACTTCATAATAAGTAATATCTAAGTTTTATTATCAGATAACTGTGTCAGCACAGATGAATGATGATAAACCCTATTTATTATGTATTGTTATTTTCATGATGGTATTGTTTTACATAATTTTCTTCATAAACCAATATTTTGCATATCTATTGTTATATTGTTTAGCTAGATTAAGGACCTATTTCACAGGGTTTGCTTAAGTTTTTGTCTACCTTAAAGTATTTTGTATCGGGGCAGTACGTCAATTATCCGCAAGTTAGATAGAGGAGAAGTTCACCTAAACGTTTTCTAACAAGTATTTTATTGCACCATCAAGGCACCGTTTTGCTTCCTGACCTCTAGAAATCTGGAATCCTTACGCCCGAATACTGGAAGGTTACTTAGGCCCGAATACTTAAATATCGTGTCAATTCTGTCATTTTACAAAAAAAATGTAGTGACAGAACTATACTTAAGCGCGACTTAAATTTGAGTGACGTTTGGGTATTTCAGCATTAGTTTGGTATATTTATGAAATTTCCAAAGTTTAAGGAAGCTTTTTTCCTTTAGGAACCTAAATATTTCCACTTCCAGGATAAGTAGTTAATATTCATTTGGAATTTACCAGCTTGGTCTATTATGTTACATGCAAACAATCATATCATTCATTTTGTAGTCATCATAAATTAATTATGTACTAATTGATACATATCTCAAATATTTGTCTACATAATATTATTATATCAATTAGTAATGTATTTTTAAAGACTATGTACTTAAACTGTTCATTTTGAACTAAGTATTAACATTAATAAACGAAAATCAATCGATGTACTATTCCAGTTTCGTTTTTGTTAACATGTTTAACATAGTAAAAAAATGACATATACAAAGGTATAGTATTAACTAGCTACATTATATTATTTGAATTCGATTAGAAGTTTCAAAGTTTAATTCGTTAACCAACTGTTTTGTAACAATCTTTTCAAGTTCATACATTCATAGAGATACCATGCTTAAAAAGTATGTGCCTATGTGGGAAGGTACTTCGAAAACCTGTTTTACTAATAAAAACAAAGCAAACGTCCGTCATTCAGGCGTTACTGTTGTCGATGTTTAGCTATTTTTGACATATACCAATATATCTAGATACTTATCTATACGGCTATAATTGGTATTATAAAGAGAAACTCCTAGACAATATATTTTGTTAAATGTTTCCCAACACTACGATTTTCTCCTGTGTTGTGGTTGCTTTTACAAATATACAATTTCAAATGCAAAATGACCCATAACCGAAACAACAATTTGTGGATCACACAAAGTGTTAAGTGAGGGAATCCAACTCGCAATACGTAGCACGGAAGGCTGTTGCCCAGCCACCGCACACACCATGCAGGCAATTATGATAGGTATATGTTACAATAATAGGAAATCCTTTACAAATTTATGAAGTAACCAGAGGAAATAAAAAAAAAAGATTTTATAAGAGTGAAGTGTTTTTCTGACAATCTGTTTGTTACACATGACATTTAAGTTAGTGATGGAGCTTGGCCTAATATATTACAAACGTGGGCAGGTTGCATCACCGTGGCCCCCACGAATTCTTTTAAAAACGCCGCTGCTAAACTGTCAATGCCCGCGTTGAGGCTTCGTGGGGCCCTCTCTTTAAGCGCGATGCAGTTACATTAAAGCCTGAGGCCGACGCTTAGATAAACCGTTAATATTTTCATTACTCATTAAATAATAGAAATTTAATAAATGAGAAATCTATAATAATATATAATTATAAAAGATAGTACCTAGTAAATGCTCAAGAACGGCTAAATAACTTAGACATGAGAAATAGTTAGATCTCTGTGATAATTATTTTCTTATGATTGCAATTTAAAAAAGAGACTTTGTTTGTTTGATCGTATTTAAAGTTGTACCTACCTATGTTTTAAATTAAAAGGTTTTAAGAAATATCAATGAATCGCTTACTGCCAGTGTAGTTCTGGAGTAGGTAGAGACCGCGTTTGGGCAAAACATACAACAGATGCAGTGTCAGTGGTTTGATACGAAGATTTAAAAATCAAGATCAATGGCGTACTATGGAAGAGGTCTATATTCGCCTGTGAGCGGAAGCGGGTGATGATGATTACCCTCAATTGTAAATAACGGCAAAGGAAAAAGAAAATAAATGTGTTTAGTGGGAAAACCCTATCCTTTACATTACGTATAATAAGTGTTTCTTCCACATAAACAGCTTTAGATAGAAGGAAAAATTACATGATAAAGTAGGTGCATGTTTTTCGAGGATTTTGATAAATACGAGAATATTTTGATAAATACGTATTTTCGTAAAATTAATAACGATACGAAATGAGATTGAAATCTGTTATGTGATGTTACGTATTGATATCAATTATAAGTTAACTATAGTAAGTAATTAAAAATTTAAGTAATCCTTTGTGTAAAGGATGACCATGTATTTGGAAATATATCGTACAAAATTAAACCTACCTAGCCTACTCAAGAATGTTAAAAAATATACGAGCAAAATTGCTGTAAAATAGTATTGTTACACTTTTTCTCAGAAACGAACTAGAGGACTCGAGCTTAGTATTTCGTATCTGATTTCTCTGAGAAAGAATACCGAAACACTCAGGGATCTCAATCTCTTTTAAAGTTGAGGCTCAAATTAAAATAAAGTTCCAAACTAGCTTGTGCTGCTGTAGTCTTTGGAAAAAAGAAGCATACAAGAATTAGACCAACCATGTCACAGCGACTAGACTTACTGTATCACGGGTATACTTTTAGTCCTTATCGTGAGTTCGATATACGGCCAACTCAAAATCTTAGGGTCGAAAGTTTTGAACAGAACTCCGTACAACTAATGTCAAAAATTCATTATATTACGTACCCTGTTACAAGGTGGTAGCCCTTTGATGGCTTTTCTCAAGACAAGTGTCGCTCGTCTATGAAACCAAAGAGTTTCCCATTCTCGTGAACAGACTTTGATGAGTCGTGGACTTCAAAAGTATTGCAAGAGTTTGTTAGGTAATCAACGAATAATAATTTTATTGAGTGGTTTAACATTACGATATTCTTTTATGTTTATATAGGAGAATGTTGTTTGTCAACGATAACCTTGTTAGGTGGTTAATTTTGTTAACCCGAAGTATTATTCTACCTATGAACATGAAGTTTAAACATATTATGTTTATTAACCTTTTGAGCGCCGATGTCACATATAAGTGACAAGTGAAAACTGTCCCTGGACGCCAACGACACAAATACATGACAGAAAAAGCGGAACCGGAAACACGAAATCAACAATTTGATTCCCTATTGGAATCCCTATTTCTTCCGTAGAAATTTGCGCGGAATTTGTGGCTTGGCGTTGAGGGCAGGTTCATGTGTTTTTGCTCTGGCGTTCAAAAGGTTAAAGAGGGTGCTTTACGTTAAAAAAATTTATTATTTAAACAGGCCCCAGTTCCTATAGAACCATGGCAAGAAACGTTAGATGCGACCAAAGTAAGCCCTGTGTGTGTTCAGAGGAACCCGTACATTCGGCAGGAAGAAATCGTTGGACAAGAAGATTGTTTGTATCTTAACATCTATACACCAATAACGGATAATGTGCGTATTTTTTATTTACCTACCAAGTATTTTTTGCTAATCTGATGTGAGGCGCTCTGCAGATTAACCTTCTACCGAATTAAAAGGAAGTTTTCCTATACTGACATTTAAATTTCTTAACTCTGCCATTCAAATTCTTGCTAAGCCAGTTAGTCTAGTCAAGCCGTAATCGCCAAGTTAGCGGCTATGGTTTTAAATAATGCGTTAAGCGAGCTTCTCATTGTCATTTCAAATGTTGACAGGATGTGGGCGAGAAAAAGAAGTTGTTACCGGTCATGGTATTCTTACACGGAGGTGGTTGGATGTGTGGTAGTGGCACCACTGAAATGTACGGACCCCAGTTTCTTCTAGATAGAGATGTCGTATTTGTTGCGACCAACTACAGATTGGGTTAGTAAAAAGTGTAGTGACATGGCAAAATAAAATTCTTCTAATCGTATTATTCATGAGTAACAGTGATTGCAGTTTAAGTGAAATTTCAGGTCCACTAGGCTTTCTCTCTACTCAAGACGAGTACTGTCCTGGCAATAATGGCCTCAAGGATCAGCAGGAAGCTTTGAGGTTTTTGCAAAAGACCGTAGAGAGTTTTGGTGGTGACCCGAACTCTGTAACAATATTCGGAGAGAGCGCTGGAGGCGCCAGCGTCCACTACCACATGATATCGGAGAGCAGCGCAGGTAATATTTTACTGTAATCACTGAGTATAATAAATCATTATTTTGTACAGGCAATAAACCTCTAATTAGTTTTAATTGGAATAACTGATTGCCATTTTATGTCACTTTAGTGAGGTAAATAATAAATGTTAAAGTTACTTAATACTTATCTATATTTTACTTGGTCTTTTAGATATTGTATTTAGTGCAATTGTCACATGCACAGAGAATTATGTTTCTTATCAAGTACCTAATCTGTATTTATAGTTACTACTTGCAAGACTACATTATCTGTTCAACAAATAATATGCTTATTATTTGTTGAACAGATAATGTAGTCTTTCACAGTACATAACATACATAAGCTTGGATTGCCGTTATTGACAGAGTTCAAAGAACGAAAGACTATTGTGGTTAAATGGAAAGTTCGAATTGAAAGTGTTAGTGTTTACAATAGAGGGGACAATATGCAGTAACCAGTAACATTGTATGTCTTACGTGAACCCTGTGATGACAAGGCCGCTTACCCCAAGTTTAAAAAAAAACAACATAAAACGATAAAAAGATATTTGGAAATAAGTACCTTTTTGATTACCGATTACAAATTTTAATATTGTTCAATACACAGAATTGGAATTGGATGTATTACTAAATGTACATGAATAAGGAAAAATTTTTTGCTTATAATTACAATGAATTAGATGTAAACTCAAGTACTGATTTATAAATGATTTTTTAATTTCAGGACTATTTCATAAAGGAATATCAGAGTCAGGTACGGCTTTAGTGCCGTGGGCCGAAGCCCCGCCTGGCGAGGCCCTCCGGAACGCATTCCTTTTAGCAAAGTATCTGGACTGTCCTCAGGCACCTTCTGCTAAAATGATCGAATGTCTCCGCACTAAGGACAGCTATGACATCATCGGCACGGAATTCAGTTTTTACGTACGTCACAGCACTAAATGAAATTAAAACACTAAATACTTAATGAAAAAATGGAATTTAAATATGTTACGCTAATAATATTATGCAAATTAATATTGGCATAAATATTTTGCTAAGTACCAAGCTCTCAGCTTATACACAATTACAATTCAGTAATCAACATTATACTTTAATAACGTAGTTTACCCTCAGACTGATGATGCAAACCAACTTAAATTTGGCTTGCCCAGTTTATTTATTTGTTTGTTCGGGTCAAATTTAGTCATTTGTATTTTACCCGTCCCATAAGACAGATTCATTTGATATTTAGTACATAAGACATCATAGTTTTTACGGGTTTGATTAGTAGAATAGAACCTAATAAAACCGTTTAATATATAAAAAAAATGTATTACTTGTAATATTTAACCTGTATTTCAGAAATGGGATTATGAACCAATGACTCCATTTAAAGCTGTGGTGGAACCAGACCTTCCCGGGGCATTCTTGACGAGGAGTCCTCGTAAAGTTCCAAATGTACCTGCAGTCCCTTGGATGACTGGCCTTACCAAAGACGAAGGCTGTTTGAAATCAGTTTGTAAGATTTCTTGTCTCTACTAATTATATTTGTAAACATTGAAACATAGAATTTCTTCGTCCTATTTTAATGCGCCACGATTATCTTGAGGTTTCCAGTTCCAGCTGTTTTTTTATATTATAGGTATATTTTGAAGTGAGTAGGTATAATAAATAAAGTATTGTGTTTTAAGGGATTACGGCGTTTGAAAGCAGATACCACGAGTTTATGTCGGGCTTCGAGACAATTGCTCCAGTCACATTTTACTACGAAAACTCGCCGTATGCTGAGGAAATAACTCAGAAAATACGTAATAAATATTTTAAAGAAAATGACTTACAGGCTACGCAACAAGGAATTCTGAATGTAAGTAACCAAGTACTTTACCAGGATGATACAACTTGCGGATAATTATATTTGATGACATCGTATACAATAAGTACCTATGTACTTATGATGTAGATCGTTTCTTCACTGTCGTCATTGCGAACGAGATGTCCAACGGTGAAATAGTCAACAGACATTTACAGGCACTTATCAGATTATAGAGGTAGATATTTAATTACCTATTACAGACATTTAATTAAACCTGTCTTTCATCTCGTTTTTGAGCGCCAAAACTTGACTCGAAGTTGTTTACACCAATTGCTTTATGGGTCCGGAATGCTACCTGGAGGTCCCAAATTCTACAATAGTCTATAGCTTGTTTGTTAGTTACTTTCATAATTTACTAAAACACATTCAGGTCTTTTGAGAGAAAAGAATATTGCCATACAAATATAGGTGCAAGAGCTACACCAGGCAATTCAGACTCCGTGCTTCTACTACCTTTTCGAAAATTTTCGATAAATCAAAAGCAAAACTTATTTCGAGAAATTATATGGTTGTAACGTTTTTTTTTTCAGATTTACTCAGATTCGTATTTCGCATACCCAGCCATAGAAGCTATAGAGTTAGTATTCAACTACACAAAGAATCCTGTGTACCTTTACGAACTGACATATCGAGGTGCCAACAGCTTCTCACAAATATTCGGTGATCCGAAAGGAGATTATGGTAAGCTGTTATACCCCAGATATTTTAAATTACAGTTGTTTCCTTTCTTGAATATTTATCCTCATTCCTCATACCTTACCTTTTTTCCCACTTTCATTATTAAACCGTTCGACTTTTATCTCATTAGGTGTATGCCACGCTGATGATCTTATGCATTTGTTCCCAATCGGGTTTCTTTCAAACCCCTTTTCACCTGAAGATCTAAAGATGAGTGAAACCATCGTGACTCTATGGACCAATTTTGCAACCACAGGGTAAGTTGAAAAGCATATGGACTTATTTTGTTAAATTGTTAATACAAATAATTATAGCTCGTCGAGTAGAGGCGACAACAGAATGGCAGACATGAGTCGATTGTAGGTTGAAACTGTATAATAAATCTTTGTCGTTTAAATCTAATTCATAAAATTTCCAGGAATCCTAACAAACCTGTACCCGTGCCATTCAAGTGGGAAACAGCGACGTCTGGAAGTAAAATGGAGTACCTCGAATTAGGTTTTAAGCCTCACATGAAGAAAGATCTGGCCCCCCGATCTCGCTTCTGGGGCGAGTTACCCCTGTGGCAAAATATGCGTAGTCGCAGATATATGGATGAATTGTAAATATTAATAATAAAACGAATATAATATTTTATGTAAGTATACTTTTGTACCTATTTGTTAAAAAATAAATCTTACAAGTAAATAATCTAACGATTCAACCTAACAAGCGCTGAATTGTTCATTCTATTTTCTAACAGTACCTAATGAAGAATCCACTGACTGAAAGTCTGGATGTATATTCAATTTGGTCAGAGTTTATTTCCCAATTTCATTAAAATCGCACATCTCTGGAGTGCTCCACCAAGCACTGAAGTTATGATAAATTTTTGTTTCTTTCATTAGATTTTCATCGTTGGCCATGGCACAGAATCTGCAGTATTCGTTAGAATCTGGATTCTCCAATCTCCGAGCAAACCTATAGTACTTCCTCCACCTGAAGTATCTATAATATATTTCGCGATTTTCTATAATATCGTACATTTCTTTGGCTAAATTCTTAGCGCCTAATGTCTTGGCATTTAAATACGAACCCGGAGACAAAAATCTGAAATGAAACAGGAATTATTGTAGCTATATATTTTCATTCGTAGACGATATGATTATGTAATGTATTAAAGAATCTACATAAATACCCACCTTGAATAATCAGCTCCACCATAAACAATGGGTACGGTGTTGTGATTAAGGGCGAGTAAAACTTTTTCCGTGACGTAATCCTCACTTACAGCATTCTCAAAAGCTAAAAAGAAATAGTAGTTGTTTTCCATTTCGTCTAAACATTTATTCATGATCTCTTTTGGACACTGAAAAGTACCACATGCTCCGTACACGTCAATTTTCAAATTAAAGTCACCTAAATATGTTTGAAGTTCGTTCACAAACTCTTCTCTGTTACTTAATGTATTACAATTAGATACGAACCACGCAGCCGCTTTGTGTTTAGTCGCTAGTTTTTGTTTCAAGTCCATATCGATAGGATCCATATCGTCCACGCTCATCCAATCCACTACCAAACCTGGTCCAATGATGTGGTTACTTGAATTCATTACCACAACGTATCCCCAAATAGCGTCAGAGTTTAGTTTGTAAGTCCAAGTCCAATTAAAAAAGTGATTCCAATCGTCTTTACAAATAGGATAGTTATCAGCAGCTTCAATATTAGCATAAACATATTTTTGATGATATGATCGTAGTCTCGGTAAGTCTCCAATGTCTAGTTGTGGCCCATTGAACGCGATAATGTCATATTCAGTAACATCCCTCAGTAGCTCCTTGTTACTTGTTACATAGCAGTTGGTATAACCACATTTTTGTTTAGTAAAAATGCTGTTTCCTTCACCAAAATAAACGAAAGGATGTAAATCGTGATCAGTCCAAAGCAAAATATATTTTGTTGTAGTTTTCGGTCTTAAAACTTTGTGAACAGTTGTTTCGTTAGGAGGACGTATGGTTGTAACACGTGCAATTTCCACTTCTGTTTTCTTGAGATAACTAGTATTATATAAATAAAATAACGCGAATATTAATGTCACAGTTATTGAACAGTACACTGTCCTAATTTTAATGAACTTGAGACTGACGTGCATAATGAAAGTCTGCGAAAATATTAATGACACTCGTTTGTGTGTATCTTGAACGAAGATGTTTGCTGTTTTGTTTGGATTTTTGTAGCTATTACTACAGGAATGCAAACATACGGTACTGCAGCGTGCAAAATCGTGGTCATTTTCTAAACGTTTTCTAAACGGAAATTACGACTTTCAATTCCTTACATTATCAAATTCCCAATATTCGTTATCAACATTATATTTTTATAATAATGTAGGGCATACTTGTAAGAATTGTTAATATGCCGATCAATCAACACCATTATGTTGATGATCTTAAAATCATTCGTAAATTCTTCCGTACATACATTTTATCATACTTACTATATTTAAATATTTTTACGTAGGTATATTTATCATAATACTCCTGCGAGGATGAACTCAATATACACAAGTAAGACAAATGTTAAATCTTATAAATATTTCATTGATTTAAATCCCGTCACGCAATTATCTATTGTTTAGGCAACGATGGCGTGCGGCGCCGGGGCGTCAACGTGCCCTAAAAAATAAATGATTTTGTGCCCAAATTCATCAAATGAGTGCTTTATAATTCGATCACGTAGTTTGTAATACTTTAGGCTTCAATGTCGTTTATTTACGCATTAACTTGTGGATAATTTAATCCCTCAATCTTCTCGATATAAATAGGTGTACGTATAACTAACGAGTACAAACTGTGTGTCAATCAGATATTAATTGTAATTAATACCCAATAGTAACTTTTGATTTATATTAGGCTAATTTTTAATTTGGATGTACAAAATGATCTAGCGCATGCATCACCACTTTCATTTACAAATGTGACAACACCTGATTAAACTGTCAAACACCGAGCGGTCACCGGTGACCGCAACCTATTGTTCTTTAAATGTGTCTATAATGATGGTACTCAACGAGTTAATAAACGTATGTAGCAGATAGTTCATACAAATTACGTCTATATTCTTTATCTGGTAAGTACACAACAGCTCTCCAGGCAATTGGTCCTTAGAAAATTGTCTTGTATAGGATTTTTAGTGAATGAAAATCGGATGAGGGCTTAGGGTATTTATCACCTGAAATATACCTTTTTCCTTCCTTCTGCAAGCTATCAGTTTTTATCACAAATTCCTTACGTTCAGTCGTTATATTTATTCTTGGGTCTTCCTCTTCCTTTCCATGTACATTTAAATTCAGTACCCGTTTCGTATATTTTCTACGTGACCATAGGAAATTAAGTGTCAAGGCTTTCCTAGTCTGGCAGTCACAATCATATGACAAATATACATTAGGATGTTTTTTATGTTAAACGATTTTAATGAGCTCTGTTCTACCAAATAAACCCTTTAGTTTGATAACCATCCATTGACGAAGGTATGGAGAAAGATAGATTAAGTACCTATATTCTATGATAATCAAGATTAAGGTGATGTGTCCAATTTCTAGGTAATATAACAGTCGGGTAAAAAAACCAACCAACGGGCAAACTAAATAAAACTGTTTTAAAAGGAGGTTGAAAGTATAATGGGACAAACTCGTCATTGCATCCCAAGACCGCTGCAACTCATTGCAACTGCTGTGAACTGCTGCAGATGGTAGAGGTAGAGACACAATCAAAACACAGAAACACTAAAGTACTGGGACCTGAGACTGTGTCCTAATTGTTGGTGTTTGATGCCGAAACGAAATAAATAAGAAGATGCCATTATAAAGGATGAACACGACTATTCGTTTTGTGTCTTCTTTTGGTTCTTCGATGTTACCTGTTCACACAACAGTAGACAGAATGAGTGTAAACAGATTGCACAATTAGGAAAAGTTCAAGTTCAAGCATGGTGCTCAGCACTGGACTTGAAACTTTGACTATAAACGTTTAGTTTAGCTTTCGTCAATACTATTTAAAAGTATTTTTTTCATTATAAGGGTCTACTATAAACTATGATATTTATATGGGAATTCGCATGTACACACATTATACACAGAAAACTTTGTACAAAACCATAGATTGTTGTCCCAAACAAGCATAATTTAAAGTAAAGATGTCCTAACTCATAAGGTACATATTAAGCTATTTTTTAGTATTGTCGTTTGAGGAAATGAAACCTGTTATGTTTTTACTTAAACCTTAATTTATTTTTAGACATTTTTTAAGTCTTGTATCATCAAGGTCAAATTGGTATCGTGCACGTCATTCAGATTTGATAAGTGTACATAATTATGTATCGGTATGTTCAACATTGTTAAGGTTAACCACTCCGGTACTAAGTTTTGGTACAACAGCCATGTGATTAAACTAATATGATATTTATTATTAATAGTTATTACTGCGTTACGTATTGTTATTGTTTTCAATCGTAATCGTAAACGTAAAGTAATAGTTACCGTAAGTCGTTTGTTCGTTACGGTCTCCTTTCATCTATATGAAACGTAGACACATAATAATTTTATTGTTAATTTTTAATGGCTAAAGTCAAATGCATTCTTGTTCGAAACTAATGAAACTAGTCTTTGAAATAATAAATAAACTTATAAAGTCACTAAGACTGTATGCTCTGCTTCGGTTTAGTGAAGTAGTCGTTCATTCTAAGTACACCCGTTTGATAGCCATTCATTGTGTCCCCTGTTGTGTTTGTTCTACAATAATAAGTTGTTGTTGCTTCCTTTAATTATTTTATTTGTAAATATGTAGCTACTAAGTTAGTTAATGAGACGATTTCTTATAAAGTTAAACGACATACCTAATTGTATTAATGTTCAAATTTCAACGACTCAGCGCATTGTTGATCAGTTTAGCTTTGGCTACAAATGTCTTTACATCAGCTTGGTATCAACAATCAGGGAAGTACCTATTAAGGAATGGAAGTAAGACTGTCTATTTTATCACTATTTTGGGGTAAGGATAGGATAACCTATTGGTGAAAAGTAGATCCGGGTATGTCTTTAAACTACGACTAGTATAGCCGCTGATTGATTTGTTAAACGGGATGACGGTGCATTCGACCATAACCCTGCTCATCAGCTTCCCGCTGATAAAATGTACCCAACACATTTTTGGATAATATTGGAAGGCTTCTTTTTCCAGTTTTTAAACTTTACTCTGTGGCAACCCAACTTAGAGAGACAACTGGTGAGATGAACAACAGGTGTAAACCTGCTGTCCTCGCATCTCACCAATTATTCCTCCCAACTTTAGGTGAGACATCGTATTGTCTCTGACGTTGTAGCCTTTTGTTCGTATATGATGAATGTTGTATTGGCAAATTCTTTGTTAGTATTCAACCTTCATTCGCGGCCTACTTTAATAATCCACATTAAATTAAAGTTTCGGCATAATAAAACAAAATTATGATAGTAAAGCTTTAATCGAAAGGAAATGGCAGCATATTAAATAGGGTGTAAATGCTAAAACCACGATGAATTGATTCCAAAATTAAAAAAACAGATTATATAAGGGGTCCTAAGGTGGTTGGTGTGGTTGGTTTCAACCCCAAACTCTGACGGAATTGTCCCAGGAGCAGCTAGCCAGTGCTACCCCGTTGGGCGACATCGAGATGGAAGTAACACGGTTCTCATGGCCATGCAGAGTTCCTGAAATTAAGATATTTCTAGAATAAGTATTGTACTTAAATGATTTATACGTAAAACTTGGCTTTTGATATAAGTTGAATAAGTAAATTATTATGATTGAGTCTGCTCCTTGCAATTAACCAGTTGATGTTTGTTTCAGTGAGGGTTCATTGTTTTGGCTTGCAAAGTTCGTAAATCTGGTGATATTTATTGATAAACTAGCTACTTCCGCGCGGTTTCACACGCTCTGCTTAGATCCTATTGGTCGTAGCGTGATGTTTTATAGCCTATAGCCATCCTCGATAAATGCGTTATCCAACACAAAAAGAATTATTCAAATCAGACTTTTAGTTACGGAGATTAGCGCGTTCAAACAAACAAACAAAAAACAAACTTCCGATTTATACATATAATAAGTTTAAGATAAGTAAGTTTAAGATTAAAATACATATATTTTGTTTATTGTATCAAATAATTTTAATTGTCATATAATCATATCATAATTACCAGTGTGATTAACTTTTAGGGTGTCCCAGGAATGCACGTCGTTGTCGTCAGATCCGGCGAGCAAGTATCTGCCACTTAGCGATAAACCTGAAAGGAGTATTTATCAACAAATCATGACTAATACTAAAGTCTATTATTGATTAGCACCTACTTGTTACTCAAAGTACCTTGTGACCTTGAGTAATAGGGAATTAGGTAACCTTGTAGGTGGTTAAGAGCCCAGACGTTTGTTTAAAAAGGTGTATCTAACCAAGAATGTGTCCTAGACATTGAATGATTTGGAAAATAAAATAAACTTATCTGTGGAAGAAGTATTAATTGTACGTTCTACACCTACGATGATACGATGAACTATTGAAATATTTTACAGAACCTGTAATTTTTAAATAATTATGTAATTAGCGTTTCATTAGTGTGTCCTAAAGCGATGCGACGCGATATACTTATGCGATTGTATTTAATTTACCTACTTATTTATAAGTTGATTGTAAAATTATCCTCTATACTCATATCAACTATAAACTACGTCATATCCTAGATTTAAAACCGCCTAAGCGCTTCTGCTAATCGTATGAAGTTATTGTTATTTATAAACTTCTGGCGAAACTTATAAACAATCTCTTGGTCCTACTTATATCTGTTGCATACGACTGTAGTAATTAGTATTAGTTTTTGCCAGTGCCTTTACCCGCGTTACCGTGAGGTAAAAAGATGGGCTATATGTGTTATGCCAGACCATACTCTTCCCCTGTTCTAAATTTCATCTTGATCCCTTCAGCCGTTTAGATGTGAAAGAGTAACAAACACACACGTTCATCATCACATTAATAATATGGGGATAAATATAATGACCACCATAAAATGCTTTGACACCCTTAGTTTTGTAACCAAAAATATCTACTTAACACCAGAAAAATAAAGTAAAAACATACAATAGTACCAGCCTATTTTAGTCACGACTCAACTTTAAATTGTATTCGACCACCAAATTTAGTAAATGATCACCAAATCTTGATAGGTTAGGTTAGGTTTTTTTTAAGGGGGGAAAATCATCGAATGACTGCTCCCGCCTGGGTGAGGTTAGGTTAGGTTAAGTTTTTTTTTTTAAGGGGGAAAATCATCGAATGACTGCTCGCGCCTGGGTGAGGCGGGCCCTTCCGCCTCAAGTGTCAGACTTTTACTGACTAAAAACCACCCCGTTCCTTCTCCTGCACGTCGAGCCAGAGCCCCGGTTACCCGTTAGGTTCTCCGCGACAGGTTAGGCTAGGTTTTAAAATGTTGGTTTAATTTTGGTGATCATTTACTATTTTGGGGTTACTCATGATTTACTTGGAGTCATTTTACTTAAATAGGATAGTAATTTTACGTTAAAATGCGAGTTTCATTTTGGTGATCATTTACTATTTTTGTCTGCTATTTGTTACTATATCTGGTGCTAAGTTAAACATAAGCCTAATAATATTAGTAGGATAGTGTGAATAAGATGAATAGTCGTAGATCATGTAATAACATAATTTTCTCATTTCTGTCTACAGACACGTGAAATGCCTTTTGTTGAATTTGTTGTTTCTTATTCCTACATTATTGACTGCAGAAAAAAATCATCATCATCAATTTATAAGTGCCCATTGCTGAGCAAAACTTCTTCTCTTCTCATTTTCTACAGAAGAAATGATGTCTTGTTCTTTTAACCGTCAAAGGTTACAACCGTTAATGGTACAAAAATACCACCTACCTTAAAGAAAGACAGTAAATGACTTGGAAGTAGAACTAAGAAAGGAACACTAGAGATATTTACCACAGCTGGTGAAGCCGCTGGCGCCTGGCGGGGTGTAGTGTCCGAGCTGCTGGTCACTGCGAATATCAAACAGTCTGGCTGTCTTGTCTTCGGATGCTGTCGCGAATGCGTGCCCGCTGTTGTGGTACTGCGGACATGACATGTACAGATAATTGTTAGCGGCGAGACATTGATTTCGCTTAGGACATCGATTCCATAAGTATCCACATAGCTGTAGATTGATTTTATTTATAGTACTTAATATATCTAAATTAAACCATATCTACAGTTACACAACACCCGTCATGATAATAATTCACTCCTTGTACTCACACACACGCTGTTGACGTCTGCATCATGGCCGAAGAAAGTTTGTTTCGCTTTCTCGTCTCGGATGTCCCACAGTTTGCAGGTCTTGTCGACGGAACCAGTCACGTATGTCTTCATGTCTGTTCCAAATGTATTTTATTATCAACTACTATGCTAAACAAGAAGACTGGTTTTGCATAAACAAAGCGTAAAGAGATAACAATTAATCATATTGATCAGAATTAGGACCAATAGTTTAATTTCTCCATCTGATTTGATGACATGACGCAATTAAAATATATTATGTTAGGTTCAAGCGGTTAGTGTAATAAAACAAAAATAAAAATAAATACAAATGATTTACCCACCTGGTGCTAATGAAATAGTAACGACGTCGCCTGCGTGGGCATCGAATTCCATCTCGCGCTTACCGACTTCCAAATCCCAAACGCATCTGTAATCGCAGTTATATAGGTATTTATTTAATGTCTTTCTGAGAGCTGGATTGGTCTTTTTAACTATTGAAGTAGGTATAATTAGGGAAGAATCAACTTTACATCTTCATATCTCCGGAGCCGGTAAGAATGTGGGTATCATCTAGGAAGCGGCAGCTGCTGAGGAAACCTTCATAGCCGGCCAGTTCACGCACCATCTTCGCTGCGCCAGTGGAGTCGCGGTTGTTTACATCGTACACCGTGCACATATTGTCCATTCCTCCACATGCTGGAACATAATATGTTACATCAGCACCATCACTATCAGTGAAAGCCTCAAAGGATACAGTATCCCACACTTAACACCCCGTGTATGCAGCAGTGGGTACTTAAAGTAATATACTAAATAAGCGGTCCTGGTCTGAGGCGACAAGATTATCAGGAAGTGAGTAGGGTGCTTTTGACACAGAATTTCTCTCGACAACTTGCATATATCCGACGACAACCCTGCGATATGGCGAGTTAGCAAACCGCCATTAAATAAATGATTTGTTCTGACAGAGGGCAGCAGCCTGTCAGCCTTTCATCGGGCGGACGTCGTTGGTAAGAGTACGGCTGAAGAAAATAAACAACTGGGGGCGGCCATAGAAACCGTTTTCACTGGCATTCACACTGCTATCACCAACCAGTCGTTGCTGACATGGTGATTATCGGCTTCTTCCCTTCCACTTCCAATCTTCAAATGACGCATTAAATAATCGACCGCAAGTTCCCAGCGCATCGCGCCCTGGTTCTCGAGTAGTCGGGTAATACGGAGTAGTGGTGCGAAAAATAATCACTGGAGATGACAAAATGCCGTAAACAGCAACAGAAACTATACATTTCAACTTGCACAGGACTGTCAAGAGCGGAGAACAATGAAAAGGGCCGAAAGAGAGCTTACAATTGTGTATATAGATGGATGAATGGAAATGATTGAACATAAAGATACTGTATTTAGTTTCTTGTAGTGAATAGGCCAATTACAGAGTGCCAGTTTAAAAAAAAATCTGTGCTATGCTATTGCACATTACCCACATTAATCATATATAGATGATTTTTGACGTTTTCTTCGCAATGGGAATTGAACCCAAAATTCACTCTGTTTACCTACAGCAACATTGCGCTTGTGACTTTTCGACGAAAAAATATTTAGTAGCCACCACAGAATAGAGAAATACGTGCTGTAGAAATCGCATACCTCTAGTAGTAGTACGAAAACTGTCCGTGTGGTAGTCGCTAATTAGGTCGTGCATACCAGATTAATTTTTTTTCTCTGAGTGTTTACTTACCGACAAAGTTTCCAGACGGCGCAAAAGCGACGCTCATGACCCAGGCCGACCGCAGGGGTATCACTTGCACCTTGTTGCCGCTCCAGGTGTCCCAAATGATCAGTTTCCCGTCGAGTGAGCCTGTGACGCAGTGCCTGTGCGTGACAGTTCGATCAGTGCCCTCGCAAACTAACCGCTGTGTCTTCAAAATAGTTATAGTATTTATACTTATAGTAGATATAATAGGTAGATATAATGTACGTAATATTTTTATTGATCTTTACAGAATAAAATAGTAATATATAGTAATATGTTTATGGTATTACAAAGTGGCCTGCCTGGTCTAGTGTTTTGAGTGAATATTGCACAACAGACGGACGAGATAATTATTAGCTATCAATTAATAATAGCTAGATAATAATCGGAACTTTGTTATGGTTTCGCGAAAGACTCATCCTAATAGCAATAGGATCAAGAATAGGCGTAACGTGACGAGTAAGCACCTTCATTTTCATCTCTGCTTGTGCATACTTTTATGTCAGCAACGAAAACATCAAAATGGCGTTAACCTAGTACCTAAGTACACTGACTCGTCGACGCACGTCCGCATGCATATTATATTTTCTGAGAAACACTATAAATGTGACTATGCGTCAAAGTTAATCATAGCAAGCCAACGAAAGGATACAATCGCGACGTATATTTAGATTTTATATCTTCGCAAAGCTCTAGCACGAGACAAAACTAACCGTGTTTACTCATTTTGTATCCAAATAGGATAAAATAGTGACAATATAAAATAATAATTGCCTAAGATTATAATCATAATATCCAATAACAGTTTTTACCGAGTTCATGTCAATTCTTTTAGGAATGAATGGAATTTAAATGAAGAAATAAAATATTTCCAGCTAATACTCGTGGGTTATTATGTCATGCTAATTATAAACTATTTTAAATTACACATACCTAGAGTCGCCACTGTAGTGCACCGAATTGACTTTATTGATATGCCCTTTTAGAACTTTTTTCGTCACAAATCTTATCTTGGTCACATCCCCTAGGTCCCCGCATTTTTCAGCAAGTTTCGCGTCAGCTAACTTTTCTTGTTCGGCCTGTAAATAAACTTTTACTATTATTAATAGCTAGGACAAGACGACAATACAACACGAAGAAAAATAATTTGCATGAGATAGCGCTAAGTATTAGTATTAGACACGAATACCTTAACTTTGGCGATCAAGTCCGTTAGCTCCTTCTTCAGGGCTGTGGTCTCCGGATCTTCCTTCGGCATGGTTTCCGCTGTGCACAACTAAGAAACAGTGACACCACCACGTACTCCCACGACTGGTATGAGCCGCAAACGGTACCGAGCTCCTATCTTTAATCTCATTTGCGTAAATTGGATTTCAATTTACTACTCCACCGAAGCTTTACATGTGCTAGCTAATGTGCTGCTTACCACAATTTATTATGTCAGGTACTGTTTAAATAAATAGGGCGATAACAATTAACAGTTTTAAAGACGTAAGTATAAAGGGGTGGAAATCTACATCATTTACACATCTTATCTATGTTACTAATACTATAAATGCCTAAGTTTTTATGTGTGTGTTTGTTCTCAATCCCGTCTAAAGCGCTCAAGGGACCAGGTTGAAATTTAGAACAGGGATAGATTACAGTCTGCAATAACACTTAGGCTACTTTTTATCCCAAGGGAACGCGGGTGAAGTCACAGGCAGAAGCTAAACCTAGCACCCATTTATACAATGACTAAATAGTACAAAACAAAATTGCGTTCCACAGTTTCTAGTTTGTGTACTTAAATGCTTCGATCTTTAAAACTACGCAATGGATTTAATGCGGATTTTTCCATGGATAGAGTAATTCAAGAGAAAGGTTTAAACATTAATTATAATCAAATTTATAATTATACATACAATAACATATCAAATAACATTAAGTCATATAAGTGGCCACTGCTCACCAAGGAAGTCATCTTAAACGACGCTTGTTCTATGCAGGTTGGCAATTTCAAACTTATAATGAGAAATTGTAAGCCCAGGTTTCCTCACGATGTTTTCCTTCACCGTTTGCCAGTGTTGTCTAAATAAAGTTAGAAAGTAAACATAACTCAGAATAAGTCACATTGGTAGTTGCTTGTACTGCCGTTGCTTGGTAGGTTTTGAACCCACACCCTCGTGTTTAAACCTCGACATATAATATATAGTTAACACTCAAGCTACAGGTAATATCCTCATCCTCCTCTTATAATATCTCCTGATTCACTTCGTTGCGGGAACCAAGACAGTTATTCATCTCCCTGGGACGCGTCGGGCTTTAGTGTTCCGATGTTTTAATGGTTGTATCTACTGTAGATCCTGGCTTACAGGAGTTGAAGCGGTTTTGGGAGGTTGTGGCGGGCTTATCGCATTTAGAAGCCACATGTAAAGGCTAGTAATAGATATTATAGATTATATAAAACACGTTGGCGTAATAGGCATTAAAATATACAATAGATACACATAATTAAATTACAATATAATAAATATAATTAAAATACAAATACAATAATTATACTAATAATTAATTAATTACCTATAATGGCTAATTTTTATTTCGCTGAAGACTTTCTTTTCACGAATCTACGTGGTCTGTTTTGGACCGACATTGTGGGAACTCCTGGTTGGTTCAGAAATCAATCTATGTACATATAAAAATGAATCCCTAAATGCCTTGGTCATGCCATCACGCGTGAACGGCTGGACCGGTTTCAATATATTTTTGGTTGTGTCTGTTATTCTCAGGAGAAGGTTCTTATGGCAGAAAAGGAAATCCTGAAAATCCCACGGAAACGGGAGAAAACAGAATTGCGCGTACGAACTCGTGGGTAGAACTCAGAATCTAGAATTATTATTATTACTTTTACGTAACATACGGACTGCACACATATAAAAGCAATTTGCATCAGGTAATTTATTGCTCGTTGACTATGTAAGGCGTGATATAAAATTAGGTAAAAAGTCGCATTTAATAAATAATGTTTTCCAATTTTCGTTTATTTACACGATAAGATAAAATCATATTTTTATGTATTTAATAATAAGAATCTTTATAATAACTATCGTGAGACAAACCCTCTGTGAATCAATAATAGTAGAGCCTCTCTTAATATATTTACGTGAGCATAGAGTTATTTTTAGTTAACATTGACAGTCAAGATAACATCAAGCTACTCATTTTAGAAACACAATTCGGTCCAATTAGTTATAAAAGCAATGTTTATTTCGTGTCGTAATTAATAGCCGATTTAACTCCAAATCTGTAAACGTCAAATAAATATAAAAAAGAGCAGAGAAGGAAACTAAAACTACTTATTTAGAACGATTTAGCCGTTAGAAAATTCCTTGATTTCACTGTCATCATGGAACCTTCTGGCCGATAAAATAAACAAAACAAACATTCGATAGTTTTATTGAGATTCAAAACATATACTTAGGTACTCATCCAAAAAATTTGAATTGGCGTCAATTTTTAATTTTGATCATTAAAAGTACTCTGTCTGACTGTTAAACATGAGTAGTGTAAATGTTTCACCATATCCATGATGAAAATCTAACTGGGTGAGGTACCTACTTCATGTCTATCAAAAGTTTTCAATTTCTCATAAAATATGGGTTGCAGGGTTAATAGATACGCCTACAAAGTAAAATCAAATAATTTCTAAAAAAGTTCAAAATGTTGTGATTCTTATTCTATTATATTATTTAAACATGATCTGTTACTTGATTCAAGTGAAGCGAGACGCTATTCCAGTACAGTTAACTTTCACTTCATTGTTCCGCTTCTTTTTGGTCAAATTCTCTATAACCACTAAGCGTCAAAAAATCGACACTTCGACACAATCAAATTTACAGTAACACAACGAAGTAGGTAGATAGTTGTACGTATTATTATTATCCATGAGTTCAACTGACATAAAAGTTTTAAGTCCTAGGATAGCTAGCATTTTGATGCTACTGGAATGAAGGCAGTATACATTAAATTCTATGTAGTAAAAACATGTTTAACTTCTGCTTAAGTATGTACTATCTATCTACAATAATCTTAATCTACGTTCTCAACGCTTAGCAAACTGATTTCACAGCCTTTATTTATTGACAAGGGTCAATCATGCAGAGTTCTAGGTACCAGTAGGTAGACTTGCGACAAGAATTTGATAAGTTACTACTATACTAAACATTGATTGAAATGTAAGAAGACATGTCTGTATGTTAGGTTACGCACCTGTCGTACTTAGTCAAAATAGGAAATGAGACTATTATATTAACCCACCGTGTCTAGACGTGGACCCACGCGAGACACAATGTATTTTTTATTGTCTCGTATATGTACGGGCATTCAGCATTAGGCATTGCCAAAACAAACAATTCCAATATCTTGATTGTAGATACATGCTAGTTAGGTAGGTAACAGCAATCAAACACTAATGTGTACACACGTAAAGGTGGGGTAAACACCGCGGTCATCATACCTATAGATAAGTACGTATGCAGCAAATAAGATTAGCATTCTTAATAATAAAACAAGTCTTGAACTGAAACAAGCTTTTTTTAAACGAGATACTATTTTTATATTTTATATGATTTTATTCAAATTTTTGTGACTACGTCGCGTCGCACTACTAAATAATATTACGGTGTTACAGTTACTTTATGTTTTCTTTTCGACGTTGTCCGCCACTTTCATTTCACGGTTTAATAAGTTTTTCTGAAAGCAATAAAAATAGAGGACAGCTCTCACCTTCCCGTTGTAATCAATTTGATAGGTTCCATTGGCGATGTGATTGCAGTCGCTCGTTGGGAGCTTTAAGGAAAACATGGTTCACAAACGTCGCAGTTTTCCTTTTAAATGTTGCTGGTTATTGGCAATATTCATTGCTCTCAGACAGGGAACACTATCTCAAGAATTTTGCGAAAAAAATACACAAGACGAAAACTGCAAAGAACAATTCCTGTATTCTAAAGGTAAAATAAGTACATTTTTATTTCTTTTTTTTCCTAGTTCTGCCTTGCGATGTTATTTACACGTGTGTAATTTGTGCAATACTGTTTTTCTATAAACCGGAATTTTATCTACATTGTATCTAACTCTGCATAATTTTAGGCTTTGTTAAGTGATCAATGTCCATACAATGTTACTAATAAAAAAGAATGCACAGGACGGAATCGAAACAAACCTCCAAACATAATATGTTATATAAATGTGTATGTAAGTATGAATAGAATAAAATTACTATCGATATTATAATAATTAGGTACTTAATACAATATTTTATTAACGTTTTCGCCTACACAAGCTTTGTGTTTTATAAAATCTTATTATTATCTTATTTTTTCTTCTCTACATATTCTGTGATCAGGTTTATGATGTCCATGTTTTAATTTTCTGTTTCAATCATTTACGAAAGCGAATAATAATATGACTTTAAGTTTCGACCTAGATAAGTAACATGAGAAACGTAGGTAAGCATACTTAATTATTTCATTGAATTTGTTACATCTATCTGATTTATTGACAAAGACTGTGTAATCTGTGTATGGATGTGGACATTCTGGACTAAAGCAACCTACTACTCTACTCACACAAGTTTTGTGATGTTCGTAATTAATAAATACTTACGCATACATGCCTACCTATGTAGCTACATACTGGTATTAATCCCGTTTTTAGTAATTAAGATTCTTTACCATAAGAGCCCACGGAACCCGTGCCCCATAATCAGGAGGGGCCCGAAAGACCGATATAGAGCAAATTTCTGTGTACCCACAAATTGTTGTTTCGGGTCTGGGTGTCATGTGTATGTGATATTGTATGTTTGTAAATGCACCTACGATACTGGAGAAAAAAATAATCACACGAACATAGTACTTACCTCCTTCTTTTTTTTATAGTCTGTATAAATCCTAGGTTAAAATAGCAAAAATAAAACATTTCAAAAGGGCTTCGAATTATTGTGTGCGTTAGGGCCCCAGCGAAAAATGGCCCTGTCTGATACTCCCTCTCGCCTCACTTAAGGCGGGACAAGTCATTGGATAATTTATCTTACACAAAAAATCCCCGTATCCAAGTTTACTCAATCAGCCAGACCAGACAAAACTAACAAAAAGATATCAATGTGTGACTCAGTGACAGCGGTTAATCCCCTTGATTTATACCATATTTTGAAAAACACTGACCAAGTGTAGTGCGAGTGTGTAAATATAAGTCATTTAATTGGGTAGTTTCCAGGGTATCAAAATTAAAAATCTGATTAGTCTGTCAGTTACGTAATGAAAAAATATTAGACACGTATTTTTTTTATTTTCTCGTATTAAGTTGCAATACTTAGATAAAATGGCGCTAAGTTTAGGAGGTCGTTACGTCATAACGTATTACAAAATGTAGCACACTGTGACGTCACACGTTTTTCAGGTAAAATTTTAAATGAATGTACCAGACGGACATTAAAATAAAATTTAGGAAACTACCCTAATTATGTCTGGAACTGTCTAAGATGACTAGAAGTGTGAACATAACAGCGGTATAGATAGCAGTTAAGTACTTAATCAGGTAGGTACTTCCCTAGTGGTATTATTATTTGGAGTACATAATAATAATCTCATTGGAAATGAGAAAATAATAATACTGAATAATAACTTTATAGATAGTCTTGTCAAACAGTCGATAGCTCAGTTATCGATAAAAATCGATATGTCAACCGGCAAAAGCAGAAATTAGTTTTCGATCCCGATTTCTGAAATGCTGATCATCGTAAAAAATTGTAATCGATTGTCAAATTTCTTGCCGGGAGACGACGACGACGACTAAGAATCAACTTTGATTAGCAAAAAAAATTTATACTTACGAGCTCTGTGATTTTTTAAATAAAGTAAGATTTTAGAAAAAAAAATATAAATGAAAAAAGAAACTAAGTAATTCGTATTCAGAACCCGCTATTGTTTCTCAATTAAATATACTTTTGAACAATTTATAAATACTAATTCAAATACTATCGATATAATTTAAACTTGAATTTAAGTGCAACTCTATTGGAATCAACGCGCACCACTCACGATTCTCACGAAGTTCATGTTGGTTATTGTTTTTGTCGTCAACGTCAACTCGACTACTTGTCGGGTCGCCGCGGTCGTCGTCTCGTCGTAGTATTGCCATTGATCATTGTTGATTGTAGTTCAGTGCATGTGTAATATGATTTTGATGTACCTACTCGCATGGTGTGCAAATTGTTATGTATGATATTTAGATAATAAACTGATAGCGTCATTCTAATATAAAACCATATGCTTGTATCAAATGATCTCATACCAGGCCGGAACGTCGTGAGCTCAGGACCGTCGGTGTAGTTATCTCAGTTTCAATAGTAGCCAGTAGGTACCTACTAAAGCTTATCGCTTCGGAAGCGGGAACTCGTATCTGGAACAAGAGGAACGTTAAACGAGTGTTTATTTAGCCGCATTTTGTTTAACGACTAGTATTTTAGGCGCATGTCGACGGAAGCAGTGAACTCAGACTAGTCGTCATGCATCGAACTGAGAGACTAGTAGTGCTTTTGCAAGCTTTAAGTTCTCTACTACTTCTTAATTGTCTGGTTGAAGGACGAGGTAAGCAATAAATAATTATAATTTAACGAAGTGTATGTAGAATAAGGCTAGCGAATTTAATGGCTGAGCTTTTTCGGGAGTTAGTATTTTGCTATTTCTCGACTGTTACTATTTTATTCTAATTAGATTTGCTCTGCGTTTAGTTCTATTTGATAATGATTTGTGTATTAACTGAATTCATATATTTCACTGTTCTGTAAATATATCATACAATGACTCATCCTTTAAAGTAATTAGATGGTTCCAGAAATAAGTAATAACTTTTTGAAATTCTTGATTTAAGCCTGCTTAACACATATTGATATGACCTATAAATATTTTTTTGGGATAAATCAATTTTCTACAAACCAATTTAATGCACACTAATTTCCACTTATTGTACAATATGTACTAAATTGTACGATTGTACAATTTTAGTACAGGTTTTATTACACTATTATAGAAAATATTACATATTATGCCACCTAAAGAAAGTAACCCTTTTTATGTTTGTTGCAGATGATGTAAAAGTTTTAACCGTTGCCACCGATGAGAATCATGGTTTGGAGAGATTCCTCAGGTCAGCTAAGGTGAATGGAATTGATGTTGAAGTGCTCGGCAGAGGAACAAAATGGACTGGAGGTGACATGAATCTACCTGGAGGAGGGCAAAAGATTAACTTGCTCAAAGAAAAGTTAAAAGACTTATCAAAATCAGGCACAAATGAAAAAATTATACTATTTACTGACAGGTCAGTGCATTCAAAATTACACACACCCATAGTACCTACATTACTCAAATGTGTGATTTTAAATTAATGTATTACCATTTTTAACTGTCTACACTTTCTTTCAGCTATGATGTCTTATTCCTAGCAAGCATTGAAGATATATTGAAAAAGTTCCGGTCATTCCCTGAAACACGGGTATTATTTGCTGCAGAACAATTTTGCTGGCCAGATACTAAACTGGCTTCACAATATCCAAACACAGAAATTGCAAATCCTTATCTAAACTCTGGTGGATTTATAGGTAATATAGTGATTAAAAATAATTTATTTATATGATGAATTTAGAGCAAATAATTTTTGTCTACTCTGTGTTGTGTTGACTTTGTTACAGCCATTATGTACTTTTGTTTGAATACCATCCCCTTAAATAATAATAAATATTATACAATTTTCGAGGCTTGGTTAAAAACTAGTCCATGTACTAACAATGGCTGTATTATTAAGATCTTTTGTTAATATTTAACACAATGCTCTTCTCATAATAATGGTTGTGTACAAGAAGGTATCAAAATATTTATATGCATTCTTAATTCTTTGTGCAGGTTACTTACCGGAGATACTTCAAATAGTTAATTATAAACCAGTCAGTGATAAAGATGATGACCAGCTATATTATACAAAGATTTATTTGGACAAGAAATTAAGGGAAACCCTCAAAATAAAGTTGGATCACAACTCTGCTATATTTCAAAATCTGAATGGAGCTTTATGTAAGTATAGTAAACATGGAATAACTATAGCCCACATTCCCATGGGATAAAAAGAAGCCTGTGTTATTCCAGAACATAATGTAGCTATGTTACAAATTTTATCCAAATCCTTTCAGCCAGTTTGACATGATTGAATAACAAACATTAACTCACAAACTTTGGGCATTGTAAGATTTGGTATAATTTAAAAACAAAACATGCCTTGTTTGAATTTAGAAGTTTAACAAACAAATGACAAGCGGGTATTCAATGAACCATTATTTAGTTTGTATCATAATAAGTCAGCAAGCATGTAAAGTGACACTTATTTAATTCTTTTTATACTTTCAGCTGATGTTCAATTGAAATCTAATACCAGTACAGAAACTTGGCCATATATAGAGAATGTTGTCACCAAACAGCGACCTCTTATAGTTCATGGAAATGGTCCATCCAAGCTGACACTGAATCATTTTGGCAACTATTTAGCCAAAGCATGGTCTGCTACAGAGGGCTGTGCTCTATGTAATGAAAAAAGAATTGAACTCAAGGTATAAATAACATAACTTTGTAAAAAATATACCTGTTTAACATTCGTTAGGTATATAAAATATTAATCTATCTATTAAATTATGATATTATTCAGGAGGATAAGCTACCTACAGTGATGATGGCAGTATTTATAGAACAAGCGACACCATTTCTGGAAGAATTTTTAGACCAAGTACTTACAACTGATTATCCAAAGGAGAAGATTCATTTACTGCTGAGAAATAATGTGGAATATCATGAGACGGAAGTTGATGATTTCTTTCAAGCTCATGCCAAGGACTATGCTACTGCAAAACGTATCAAACCCAGTGATTTCATCTCTGAATCAGAAGCTAGGAATATTGCCAAGTAAGTACCTGATACTTTGCTAGCTTTATAATTATCATGTGGGACCCACACTCGCAATATTGATCAAGAATAAAATAGAAGGCTGTGTGGTTGGCTTGGCATAGTGACTGGGCATTCTTAGTATTAGTTGAAGGAGCCATGATTTATGCTATGTGGAAATCAATAGGGCTGCTTCATATGCCATAGAACTTATACATATGAACGAACACTTGGTTTACTATAGTAATAAGTATTCTGTCTACTATAATCGGTGAATAAAAGCGTGACGATATGATTTGTAAACAAATTACGAGCACCTAAATCGTCAAAGATATTTGTTTTATTTTAGTTTGTTTTTATTCACAGGGACCGTTGCATAAACAGTGCATGCGACTATTTGTTCTCAATAGACAGTTTGTCCCGTTTGGAAGCAAACACGTTGCGTCATCTATTATCTTCGGGTTATGACGTAATCGCCCCGTTGCTAGTGCGGCCTGGGCTCGCGTGGTCCAACTTCTGGGGTGCTGTGAACTCCGCCGGCTTCTACGCTAGATCTTCCGACTACATGGATATTGTCTACCAAAACATCAAGTAAGTATTTCAAGCCCTCACTAACTTATTACAGAGTTAAAAATACAAATTTTGCCTGTTTAGTCAAGTAGTTGGTGTTAAGCGTGAATCTCTAGTAAGGACTAGGGATATCATAGTTTGATTCTCAATTTGGGTAAATCGATTTTCGGAAATTCTTATTAACGACAATGGAGTCTCAAATTTCTATTACCTCTACTGGCTCTTCTTACCTCTACAGGGATTAAAAGGCTTGATGTTATAACATGATACATAGTTAATATCGACAAATAAAAATCATCAGAGTTAAAGTTTATTAGATAAAAACTTTAAATACATATATATAATGTAAGAATAGATTGTTACCTGTCTTGAGTATGTAAAAGTAACAACTTAAATAAGGCCTATAATAATAAAATTAAAACACCTTCAAATGAGGTACATTAAATGAAAATGACAAGACAATTTTATTATATGTCATTATGTTTAGTCCCTATTTCACAATGTATATAGCAGAATAAATTAAATTAAGAAAGTAATTTGTATGAACTTTTTGTCACATAAGTTTATCAAGTAGGTATTTATGGAGATGGTGAAACAGGCGCTTAATCTCCCAAAATATGCTTAAACGAGACACGTGACAGTATAATTTTAAAGTAAAAATACCAATGCCCGTTATTAAAGTATGGTTAATAGAATAATAACTCAGTCGAAGGCAATGGAAAAGTCTGTCTTGAAGGAGCGCCTATCAATGGAGTACATGTTGTCTGCCGTACACTCGTACACGCCGGCGTCCATTTGAGTGGCAGGGTCAATCTCAATCTTCGATTTCACACGGTCATCACCAATAGGCCACTCGTGAATCTAGACAAAGATATAAACGGGACACTTATTAATTTAGTAGCAACACTTTCCTATGTAGGTACGTCAAGTAATCTCTTTCTAAATCTTTTTCTTCTATTAAAAGCCCCCTTGAAAACAATAATTCCGATACTATCTCCTCAATTGCAATTTAAACGATGTAAAATTGTTCTCAATCACTATTATCAGTACATGCCTATAAAACTGAACTCAGTGCGACCTATATAATGATTCCATTACATTCTCCAATTGAACGTTTTTGCCTCGTGTCTCAAATAAATTTTAATGCTCGAAATAGGACAATGTCCAGTGAATTGTATGAGATTTAATCAACATACTACAGCGTTACCGAGCGGGTTGTTTGTTATAGGAATTATATTTGTTGCTGTCACGTAGACCTCAATAAACTATCTATGCGGAAAAAAACAAGGCGTCGCGTTGCGATAAACTTTTATCTAAGTAGGTACAATGAGCCTTTGTTTTTTGTTGCAGAGTAGTGCACGATAATTAAAAATTCTTTGAAATAATTTTTAAATAGTAACAACTATAAATTCGCCAAGATTTGTACTGACATTAATAATTCTTTTTTAAACTACATTTAAAAAACGACTGCAATCCTTTCTTTTTATTGTAGTCGTTTTATTAATATACTTCAACCTCCTCCTTAGTGTAACAAATGCTGTCCTGATAACCGCATCACAATCGGTTTAGCTAAACTCGAGATATTCGCACACAAACATACATATAAAGGTCAAAGTGGAGACATACTTTTTTGAAGTCTGTTAAAAATTAAAATAACTAGCTTGCAATCGAATGTAAAGTAATGATTAAGTACTTTGATTTATTTCAATTCAACTTGATATCATCAAAATAAGTAAGTTGTGCATAGCGAAATATAATAATTATAAACACAGTACGATATCATTGGAAACATACCAAAGTCGCTTTGCTGATCAAAATTGTATAGTTTGTGTACTCACGTGTAAGTAGTGATGGGCAAATATTTCCACTCCATCTTTAAACCATGTAATATGCGGTCGAGGTGACCCTTTGGCGATACATAAGAATGCAATCTTGTGTCCCAGTACATACTCAAGGTCAAAATGTGATGCAAGTAGAATTTTTGCACCCTGAAAAATTAGGTAATTGAATATTATGTTCATTAAACTTCATATTTTGTGATATTTTATAATAACTGGCTCAAAACTTACGTCGTTATTATTGTAATATTGATCTGATTCGGGATCCCTGTACTTTCCGGTGATGGGTAATCCGATTTGTACCTGGAAAATACATTTATATTTAACGGTGCGTAGATATTGCGGTGGAGCATTATCGATACCTGAACATTTAGAAAAATGTGTAGTTGAAAGTATCCGTGTAATATCTTAAATATATTTGTAGTTACGGCTCCATTTTTATTTTGAGATCTTGCAAACTGTAAACCGCTAATTTACCTTGGATTTTGTTCTGCTTCTGGTGCGTCCACGTCGCGCATCGGTTGAACATATCCAAAATGAGTATAGTAGGAGTAAGCACAAATAGAAATTAGCTTTCATGAGTAACATTTGCGCGGTCAGGTGTAAATGGCACAGTTAAAATAAAGTTGAAAGACACGTGAGTATCCTGGTATGTCTTGCGCGGGACTCTGAGTGCAACTGGTGGTGTCGGTGATTCCTGTTGCGCCAATCTTTCAATTGGCTAATGACGAGGTGCTAGCAGGAGGGCCCTTGTCTCCCCTATGTGGCATACGGTACTCGTCACTTCCTTTCGCATTTCGTACGACGATACTTCAAATGATATTAATAAATTCAAACATAGGTCACGATAACGCCTGCCCTCAAAATTTCATACATCTTTTATTATTGATATATTTTTTACATATTGTCATTATGTTAAAATAGAAATCATTATAGGCACTTCTTTAATACAATCAATACGGGTTATCTTAGCGAGTTCAACTTTACAGAATAATGTTATTTAACTATTAAATGTATGCTGTTTTATCAATGTAGATAAATGACAAGAACCCACTAATTGATTACAGGGGCGTGTGGAACGTGCCTTTCATCACGAACTGCTACCTAGCCAAGATGTCAGTGTTCAGACTGCCTGCTACTAAGTCGGTTACTTACACTACAGATGGAATTGATCCCGATATGGCATTTTGCGCTAGTCTAAGAGAAGTTGTAAGTGAATTATCCATTGGGAATATCCAAAATGTACTTAGGACCTAAGTTGTCCAAACAGAGTGATTTAATATGTAGATATTAAACACAGACTTTTATTTTTAGGGTGTGTACATGTATGTTAGCAATGAATTAGATTTTGGACATTTGGTTAATCCAGAAACATACGATATTAGCCGCACGAACCCAGATATGTATCAGCTCTTTGATAATAAAATGGAATGGACTACACGCTATTTGCACGAAGATTATCATCTCAACTTCGATGAAGAAAGAAAGCATTTAATGGTTGGTATTGATATAGTTATATTTGTTACTAATTGTTGTTGTAATAATATAATAAAAGATGTATAGATAGAGTTGTAAACTTCTATGTAAATCATGTTTGTTGCAGCCGTGTCCCGACGTTTACTGGTTCCCACTGATGTCCAAAAGGTTCTGTTCAGAATGGATTGAAATTATGGAGGCATTTGGACAATGGAGTGATGGATCCAACAATGTAAATATATTGTAGTAATACATGATACAATGAATTATGTTTAATATTTTTGGACCCATTTTGATACATTAGAACTACTGTGGTTTTATTATTCGTTCAGAAAATTTACATCTAATTAAATATAACTACATAAATATTTACAACTTAAAATTAACTACAACTAAACTGACCAGAGGGCTGGCTTTTTCTTCGGACAGAAAATAAGCATTGCCATTCAACGTGGCAATGCTGCCAGTCTTCTGGGAACTTTCCCCTGTGATAGTGATGCGGACGAATACTTTGACGCCTAAATTAAGGGTATAATTTTTGTTGTTTTCTTTTACTTTCTTTTTATTTAATAGTTTAGTTGTAACTACTGTTAATTCATTTCTTTTTATGCAGGATAAACGCCTTGAGAGTGGATATGAAGCAGTACCTACTCGTGACATACATATGAATCAAGTTGGTTTGGAGAAACATTGGCTTCATATATTGAAGGAATTCGTGCGGCCACTTCAAGAGATGGTCTTTACCGGATATTATCACAATGTAAGATTATATATTTTGCATTAAATTTTCTACGGTCTCGAAATCTTAACAATGAACTCGGCCTCCCGATCTGAGTCCTTCGATACTGTACTGAAACTAAAATGATATTGCTATAGTACTGAACTTAATAAATAACAACCATTAAGTATACTTTGATGTTTGCAGCCCCCGGTATCGGTAATGAACTTCGTCGTGCGCTACAGACCAGATGAGCAGCCATCTCTTCGTCCACACCACGACTCTTCCACTTACACTATCAATTTAGCACTCAACACACCGAGTAAGTTTACCTATTATCTGTGCATTATAATAATATAAAATATAATTACCTAGAAATTACGAAAAGTCCGATATTGTCTCGTTGATTGAAGATGTATCAATTCGTTAGTGCGTGCGTATAATAGGCTCACTCCCTATGACATGGGACTCATAACATAAATAGTGGAGAGTGGGTGATACATTGTAAATTGGCATTAAGTGCCGTAATGTGCACCTCTTCCCAACCCTTCGGGGCTAAAAGGCGTGATGTTATTTCGTTAGTGCGACTATCGAACTAAGCGGGTTCGTTTGTCATTTAGAGTAGTCTAGAATTGTGTTCTGTATACAGAAACGAACAATCTAGATTATTTATTATTAGATTATTAGATTACATTGCCAAAAAATGTGGAAATAATTAATTTTTGACCAAGTTATGATCCCTATTGTAGTGGGTGGCGTTCTGTATTTCCTGACAAAGGCATGAGTTAATGCATGTATGTGAATTTTCAGATGTTGACTTTGAAGGTGGCGGCTGCCGTTTCATTCGGTACAACTGTTCGGTGCGCGACACTAAGCTCGGATGGCTATTGATGCACCCTGGCCGCCTCACGCATTACCACGAGGGCTTGCTCGTCACCAAGGGCACAAGATACATTATGATTTCTTTTGTGGATCCGTGAACTACAGCTAAGAAAATATTGAATTTGAATAATCAACTGTCAACAATCAATTCAAGTTAATAGTATCTAAGTTAAATGTAGAATGTTACTTCGGAAGATGTATTCAGATAATTTACCTACTCTAATATTTTTATGAGATTTGTTCGTACAAATATATTAAAGTAATGACGCATTACTTATATGCATAGAATCTCATACTGTAAATACGATTTCCTTTTTTACTGGTTGTCTTTTTTATGATTTTATATACTAATTTTTATTTTTTATATTGTATTGTTATGTATCATGCAAATAGAATTTTGCCGATAGTATTAATGCAACAACAAACAATATAAACCAAAGATTCATAGTGTAAGTGCAAATATTAACGTCAAAACTATGAATGATACAAAATGCAAGTAAATTTATATACTTATACTTTGGGTTATTTTATTTCACAGAAGTTAATTTGCGTTATATTCTGAAGCACTCCTTCTCCAATAACTCCTCTTGTCTTGCGGGTGTTTATGTGCGGCGTCGATTGCTTACTCGTTTGTGGCTCTACTTCAGTAATTTGGTTGTTCTAATGGAATGTGTCCCGGGAGTTTTGAAAGTCGGCAATTTTCTAGATTTTTATGTGCTCTTTTCGATTTCCATTTGGCACCTTTGTACGTTTTTTACAATGCACAGGATAACTTTCCAGGTAACCCTCATATTCCATCCTTAATTATCGGATCTCTCTCTAAAAAGATTAAAAAATTAAGGGCGGTTTTTTCAATCATCAACTCTTATCTGTAGAATAAAATTGATACTTGACAGTTTTTAGTATGAAATATTATTGCTCAGATAACATTTAACTGAGAATAAAAAATTGGCCCTGAGTATAAAAACTACATACTAAAAAGAACAATAGAACTGGTTGCAAACATGGAGTAAGGAGGTATTGTTCTACGCAGAGTTGTTGAGAGAATAGTTTGATTGTGAATTAAAGTTTACTTTTTATTGTGTGTCATTGTGTAGATAGGGCGCTATTAATTTATAATTTGTATTTATTTATCTTGTCATTTAAAAACTTAAGAAAAAGTGGAGTTCAAGATCTCAATTAATGGAAAGCGCTGTTGTCGTGGAAGTATTTAGATGTGCCAATTTAAACCGTAGATCTCGAATGACGTTGACGTGGCATATCTGCCAATTTTCCTTGTTATTTCTATTTCAGTTGATACACCTATCGATGCTTAGGAATCTATTTATTATTATTCTATTGTATATATAGGTAGTTGGTATTATTGGTATACTTATTTTTCTATACCTGTTAAAATGAATCTTTGTTTACTTGGTCATAACAATTACGCGGGAATGGCTAATAAGATTAACTCGATCTTATATTTTTTCTTGTCTTTGATTATGATTATATATATTATATACAGCAGCCGAGGTCTTTTATAGAAATGCAACAAGATTAAATCGACGATCTTGTTGAAGCCAACGGCTGAAGTATTTATACGTAGTGTTGCTTTAGATCTACTCATACAAAAGTAATGTCAAAGTCAAAGTCATTTATAACCATTAGAGATAAAATGGTTCTTATGAAAATTGTTACAAGGCGTTTATTATTATGGTTTGTTTTACTTATATGTTACGTATATATTACCTGAAATGATATTATTTGCATGAATAAGTATTTGTTGTTGTGGTCGTTATTGTCAGTACATAAGTTTATACAAAAGAAATGGTTTATACACCGGAGAATTTGGGAATTATTACAAATACTCGCTTTTGCCCGCGACTCCGTCAGCGTGTAACGCCTTGTGTATTAAGTTAATGTATTAGTAATATTTATTATTATTATTTATATTGGTAATATTGTTTAGATCACGTTCACATGAGGCTTAACCCTTTATAAGACACAAAACTTAAAAATATTTATTGGTTTTAAACTTTATTATAATGTGTTAAGGTTCAAATTCTGGTGGCAATATAAGTACCACTGCCTTATAAAGGTAAGGTAAAGGTACCTATAGAACGAAAATACTTCAATGCAAAGCCTCCGGGTAAACTATATTGAAAGTTGACCCGTCCGGCACGTGAACATAAAGATTTTTAAAACTGCTAACACGGGAAAGAGCAACATACAACTGATTATACGAGGAACAACTGACACTGAGATCTACTCCAGCAACACGAAAAGTCTGCCCTTGAGCCTTGTTAATTGTCATTGCATAACACACCGATACTGGGAATTGCGTCCTTTTAAATTGGAATGGAAAATTATTTGGTATTAAGGGTATTCTGGGAATAAAGACGGTTACTCCTGCACCGTAACCTGTTAAAATTTGAGCCTCGATTATATTTTGTTGCAACTGGGTTACTTTTAGACGAGTTCCATTGCAAAGTTGTGGTGGTCTTAAATTTCGGAGCAGAATAATTGGAATGCCAATTTTTAAACAAATTCCATGAGAGGGAAGTCCGGGCATATTTAAAGAATTTAAAAATTCTATCGGGTAATTAGTGGCTTCTTGTTCATCGACCATTCTATTTATTGATCTAAAAACTTTGCTCGGGAAATATTGATTTCTTATATTCGACTGTTCGTTGTAGTCGGATACAAAATATATTTGAAGAAACTTAGGTTGGTTTTCAGGCAAAAGGGATCCTATCAAATGGTAAACCTGACCTTGTATCTTAAAAGTAGGCATTAAAGGACCTTCTGAGATTTGTTGAGCGCCAAAGGATGTCATTTGAAATGCACTATTATAAGTGCGAATATTATCTAAAAACTGTTTAGATTGTATATGTTCCCCAAAAAGTAGTGATTTCAAAGGTTCCGGTGGGTCTTCGAATGAAGGCAAATTTATTTTACCTGCAGAACAACAGAAACCAGCAGACTCCTTACTCCACTTTGAAGCATTACAAAAACGACATACCACGGTCATATCGCTTATTACAGAAGATGATCCGTAATCAATTGTGAGGTTATAAGCAAACCCACTTTTATATTTGTCGGACCACGCCACTGAATTTCTAGATTGATCTTCTGTGTGTACATCTCGGTTATTAAGGCTATGTATAGTGTTGTAAACGTTAGAGTAGACAAATACAATCAGAAATCACTGAATTGCTAATCTGTCAGGAGTTTCACGTGTTATTGTGAGTGACCGACCGAGCGACCATAAAAGATAGACATTGCTGTCGAGGAATATTTTTTATATAATTTTAAGGAGAATATTTCCGTCATACATGATATCTATGTAGCTTTAACCTATAAGCCTGCACACGTGACGGAAGCTTAAAAAATGGAGTAACTTCTCCCGTTATCCCAATATTTCCCTTCACTGCTCTGCTCCTATTGATCTGCCTATTGAAACTGCCCAAGAGTATGAAGAATAGGTAATTGTGCCAAATTTCGCTAAAATCCGTCGAGTAGTTTTTGTTTTCATAACGAACATACAGACAGACAGACCAAAATTTTACTGATTGCATTTTTGGCATCAGTAGCGATCCCTAACCACCCCTTGATAGTTATTTTTTAAATATATTTTATGTACAGAATTGACCTCTCTACAGATTTATTATAAGTATAGATTATTATGTTTATGGTTTGGTACGAATACACAAATATAATTACGACGTAATCGGAACATAGGCCGAACATTCTCATAAATCTCGAGGATGCCCTGCTTTTTACGACATCTATCGAGACACTTCTATATTTTGGTAACAACAGGCGTTGGTGTAGACAAAAAGATGTAAAAGGTTTTTTTATGTCGATTCGTTTGATAGTAAAATATCTAATTATTATAAATATATTTTTATTCTTTAATTTGATTTTGAGTACATTAGTCATTCTTCGCCTTTCATTTAGTACGCTTCGCCAAGGGATGACAAGTTTAAGCACTCTCACAAATTTGTCGTATTCGTATTGAAATGCGAGAAATAGATTTACTCAATAAACTAATTATCTTAACTTGTGTTTTATCCATGGGCGGCGTTATTCGAAGAAAAACTCCAATAGGTTACTTATAAACTTATATTATTATATTTACTTATAAAATTTTAATCATAATTCAAATTCTAATTTGGTATCATGTATAAATAGAAAAGATTTGTATCTAAATATGTTTGTAACGAATTGTCTCAAAAGTACGGGACCAATTCTAAAAGTTCTTTCACAATGACTAATTTGAATGTTACATTTAACACTGATTTAGTAATATAGGCTATTTATTATATTTTGTCCCCACCCGTGCAAAGCCGGGACGAGCAGTTAGTTAGGCCGGCCGAAAACTTTTCATTAGGAATTCAGATGTTTATACTTAATAACTAAGGGCTTCACTGGGATATCATGGCGGTGCAACCCTTCACGCCACCGTAGAGTCCATAAGGTACCAAACTAGATACCAGAATCCACACACCACACTGCGACAGTATTAAAATAGGCCTCTAATGCTAGTGTCCGAACTGATCGCTCCACCAGATGACGGCGCACCCAGAGCCATGATGTCCCGGAGAAAATTAGCCCTAAAAGTGCAGTACTAAAATGGACATCAACAAGACTGTTATATGACTACCCACTACCAAAATAATTTGTAATATGAAACTTGAGTGACAAAACCCATATGCTGCCAATCATAGTCAATCCATGAATCCAACTTTACGTAATTCAGTTTAGGGCAACCCGCCTCATTAGGTTAGGTTGGAACTATGAATGAAACATCATGATTAGATGAATGTAGTTATCATACTGCGGCCTTTATTAACTGAGTTTTGTAACAACTTTTTAAAATATTTGCTTAATGAATGAAGTGTGTTCGTGGTTCGCCATGACTGTTTACGCTGATGACATTCAATCGACCTGGATCGTTCACTGAAGCTAGGCCACGCTGCACCGTGCCGTCGCGTGTCTAAAACCACTCTTAATTGAAGGGTTCCATCTAGTCTAGAAACTATCTAGGTTTATTAATTAGGGTCATCAAAGTCTTATTACTCGTAGGCTAGATCTTTTTAGTTGGTATTCTAAATTACAATTGTTCAGCAGTGAAGAGATTGTCACTGAGTGTATTTTTTCATAGATAACACAGAAATCACTGTAAAACTCATTTAGAGTGTAATGATCCGGTCAAGGTAAACATTTGCTGCTATAGTAATTTGTAACAAGCTAAATATTGGTGTAATTGTTCAAAATACAACTATAATAAAAAAGATTTCCATAATTCCCGTGTTTGGATTTAAATTTAAAGTCAAGGTCAAATGTCAAGAAAAAAATAGTGGTTTGCGATGTTCAGCAAAATGGTAAGAATGGTTAGAAGTGAAGATCATAATCTTCACTGTAAAAAACGATTTTCTTTTCTACGAGCCACCGTTACTGAGATATTAGCGATTCAAAAAGTTGTAACAGTTGTAATCATCACCTATAAGTAGGTAAGGTAGTATAAGTACTTAACGCATTTTTAATATGGTTTTTCCAGTGGATTTACTCCACAAATCAGTAATGATCCAGTTTAATTGACACCATTCTAATAATGGACATTAGCAAAATGGTTGGGCACAACTAAATCGGAATGTCTATTCCTATATTAGCTTACCTCTTTCCACAGCCCAGTTCCGCACCACTCTGCTTCAGTGGAACCTTAATAAGGGGTGTTTATTACGAGTTAATGTTTAATTGCTAATTTCTGATGAATGACGTTAACTGCCTGATTGAGTCTATGTGTATAATCTGTCTGAGTAATTTTTGTATGCTCCTGTGTTGTGATTAGTCTCGGGTTGGGTATGACATTGACAGCATTTATTATTTGCAATTGCAACAGAATATTCATCATTAAATACCCCAGAATTTCCTGTAAATTGGTTATCTGATCCCGTATTACGATTAAAGAACTTTCTTCTTGTTTCTGGAAACAAGCTATTTTAAGCCATTTACAGCTCATGTCTTTTCGAGGTCGTGAGGGCTACCCTCACGACCTCGAAAAGACATGAAAGTCCATGTATAACTTTTTTCCATTTCAGTATTCCACCTTCTGTTTCTGGATCGTTTATAATATCATAATTATGTAGTGTTATGCTCGTGTAATCGGCTTTGTAAGTGGTATCTGTAGTAGATTCTGTGAGGAAAAAATCTTATAATATTATAGTTAACTAGCAAACCCGGCGAAATCCGTTTCGCCAATCGCCACCAGATTGGCTTCGTTTTATGTAACATTTCGTTTGGTGATTAAAAGTGAATTTTTTATAGCTATAAACCTCACGGAGCCCGAGACCTTTCCAACGAATGCAATACCGTGGAAATCGGTCCGTGCGTTCTGGAGTTATAGCGTCAGGAAGGAAAACCCGACTTATTTTTATATAGTAGATTACTAAGTTTTTGTTTCTGCTAAAGGTGATGAATGTCAATGGGGTCCAATCACGCCATATCGACGTTTGATGGTTAGTCATTCTATTGATGATTTAGGATGTTGTGTTTTGTAAGTGTGGTGCTTTTCGTTCTTTCTACTGTGTACCTATATCTTGGTTTTTGAGCATTTGTTAAACCTAAATTATTGTTAGTTTTAGAATCGCGTAGGTGTATATCATCTTAATCAAATTTTTACTCGATAGTACCTACACTGCAGTCTATTCTTGTATTCAGTGCTCAACTTGTTCTTAATTGTTATGTGGTTACAATGCTGTGATAGTATCAGTGTTGTTAATATTGTAGTTATCTGATTTCATTTTCCCTCTTATTATGTGTATGGTTTTGAACTTATTTAGTCCATGGTTGATTATTGCAAAATTATGCGTTATTGCCATTTCTGTATATTAAATATAGAGCCTGCGATCTCATTGTTCTGTTCTGTATCAGTTTGTGATATTGTAATCCACTGAGTCCAATGTGCTAATGCAATGTGCTATGAAAGGGATGTAGGTTGACTCATTCCACTAAGATGTCCGGCATCATCTTGAATCTATTAGGATCAAAGTTCAAATAAAATTAAAAACTACTAGACGGGGATTGAATTTTGAAAATAATTCATTAGACATAGAATAAATAACAAAATTACTTAAAAAAAATTACTTAAAACTATTTTATATCAATAATAAAAACTACTGCTGTTTAAAAACTTGAGGATGATTTTTAAGTCCATTTGTTTCATCTATAACTATTAGATCTACACTAATAATAGTTTTACCCTTGTATGAAATGGTCGTTTTGTATGAAAAATTAAACGTTTTTTTTTATATATTTTTATTTGTATTTATCTAATTAATCACCCAATGCCATCAATGCGTCTTTGCCAATGCAGTCGTATTTTATTGATATTGATGATGATGATTCTTAAAGTAAACAGCTGGACTGTAGGCAACAAATTCTTCAAGGCATTTCGTACTGCCTCTCGAGTGTTGAATTTATTCCCGCCAAGAAGTTATTTAAATTCTGGAAAATGTACTAGTCTAGAGGTATATGCGCAAGGTCTGGTGAATAGGGCGGATAACGGAGAGCTTCCAACCCTAGTTCTTGCAACTTGGAGACCGTCTGCTGTGCAGCATGAGTTCGCGCGTTGTCTTGCAAGAGCAGCGGAGACGAGCGATTAACAAATGCTGGTTGGAGAAGTGCCAGCTTCTCCATAATTGTGTTCAGTTGTTTACAGTACACATCTGCAGTAATGCTCGTCGCGTTTGGTAAGGCGGTGTGATGAATCACACCGGCGCTAGAACACCAAGCATTGCCGATCACTTTCCTAGGGGTAAGTTTTAGGGCATTGTTTAGGTGCTAAACCAGGATTCAATCAACTTGCTGAGCGCATGCGGTTATCAAACAACCCATTTTTCATAGCAGTTCAAAATGCCTTCATTTATGTGTCTGTTGAGCAGTGCAAGGCACGTCTTCGCGCTGGCAATCATTGAGTTCGTGGCGCACCTATTTGTCAAGCTTTTTTACCTTGCCAATTTGACGCAAATGGACCAATATTCTATGACGCTAACGTCGAAAGCATGTAATAACATTCAACTGTAGATAGTATCATCAGCTTCCACAATCGCCTTTAATTCGTCATTGTCGACCAAAGGACGAACGCGAGGTTCAGTTTTTAGGTCCAAATTTCCAGACCTCAAGCGAGCAAACCAATAACAGGTGATGCGGAGGCTTGTAGTATTAGCTCCGTAAACGTCGTTTGAAGTTGAAGTTAAAACCAAAATTTCGAAGCCTCCCTAGGCCTTGCTAGCAGATATCGCAGCGCTGCCAAATGGTAGACCTAAACTGGTAGAACTTGGAACCAGCACCAAAATGGAGGCCACCAGTGGCTAACCCACAGCTACCAAATAGTATATAAGAATACTTCCATCACATTTCAAGACTTCCACGACAACAGCACTTTCGATGAATTATTACAAGAAGAAGTCCACTTTCTTTAAATTCTAATATGACGATGATATTATATGATGATGATGTTACAAGTTGGTGCACCTTACTCCTTGTTTATAAATACCGAATTTATTATTTTGTACTTAAACCACGGACTAAAGTTAATTTTACTTTACTTTATGTTAATTAATAAGACTGCTAGAGTTTTTTCATGTTAAGGATAGCATTTCAATCAAGTTTCGAGAAGTTTTTACTAGTTGGAAAGAACCGCTGAAGTGACCTCTTGTTTTTTAAATCTATAAGTGCACACAACTTACGATCGAAATCACGAAAGGCCATGAGCCCACACGTTTTGATTAATAAATCGATGTCCCGGCCACGGCAGCTTCAATTAATTATTAACATGCTTTTTATGGGCTAGAGCGATAAGCGATTCGATGAATCATTTCATGGTAAGCATTCGGCGACACTTTAAACACGCTTTTTAGGCGGCACCAAATAACTAGAGGAGTTGAAAGTGCGTTAACGGCCTTTTGAAGAAGTCAGGAGAATTACCAGGCTAGGCGAAACAACGCGAAAGGTGTTTTACGCCATTTTCTGCGAGGAGTGATGTCACTCCGGAGTCAGTCTCTTACATGCTATGATTTGATGTTACCTACAATACATATTTACATTGTGTGCAGTTAGTAAACACAATGTTTTACTGCCATCTGTTGGTGACCTTGCAAACGACAATCAGACGAAGCAGCCTTAAAAGTTTACAGGAAAATATACTTAACAGTGACAAAAACTAATTATCTACTTGAGACTAAGGACACAACTGAATGATCTGAACTATATTATTGTTAAACTATTACTATTATTAAATACTATGTTTTATGTGTTGCTAATAATTAATATATTTTTTATTTCAAAAATGTAATAGTCAAAATACATTTTCCTTTTGTGAAATGTGGTGCCTAATATATTCAGTGTTCATTTATGTAATGGAGTAGCATTTGATTCAAATTACTAATAATATAATGAGTATTATTATTTATGAGTTTCACAGTTTACACAATAGCGCTGCGGCGGTGGCAACTCGTACTATAAGAGGGCGGCGTGGTGGCGGAATCGATCCGCCCCGCCCGGCTACCTCTAGGGCGCACTTCACTCCGATAGTTCCAAACCTTGCTCACTTCATGGCAACCACCTTATGTATGAAACGTAGTATCTATACGCTTTTATTGTTTAGCCACCCCCATTAACAAAACCTGATATCTACCGCTTGGCGGCATAAAGGTCACTAGTCGAAAAGCATAGGGAACGTTGGAATCAGGCCATGTTTTAGTAGATGTTAATCAATTAATTTTCCTGAATTGAAACTTAGTGTTACATATTATAAATTAAATGTCAAGAAGCGCGCTACGAGACATTTTAAGTGCGAATCGTGAACGTTTGTTGTGATCGACTGGATGATTGCGGTAAATTTAAATTTGTTTCTGGATGATTTGGAACAATTTGTGGTAGAGCCTACTAACACAAGACGCGGACTTTCTTAGTTGAGTGTTACTGTGTAATGACATATTGTAGTGAAGATATATTATAAGTACCTAAAACACAACTGTAACCTAGTGCATTAACTTTTATTGTTACTCGTTTGGTTGGCGGAATAAAGCTTCATCACGTTTCGACACAGCAAATTACGTTATTCTAATCATTTTCCTTCGCGCGGCTCGCCATTAAATATCAGAGGACAGTCAGTAAAGGCAGCGTCATTGAGTCGAATCGAAGCTTCCCCGAGGCTGGCTGCAGGACCGGAGTGCGTCCGAAACGTGGGCGGCGCAGCCGGCGGCGCCGCCGGTGGCGTCCGCCCTGGATACGGGTATGAGGCACTCTCGGCGGCGAGTGACGGCAGTGAAGGAGAACTCGACGAAGCACCCGAGTACGCCGCTTTTGAAATGGAACTCTCGGGTGGTGGCGAGTCTATAGAAGGACCATCTTCCCGCGGTTCAACCAAAGTCAATTTTCCACCTGAAGTCGAGTTAGAGAGGCGGCCTACAGTCTCGGCAGTGGCAACTGCAGCCTATCATAGGAGTCGCGGACGATCTATGAGTGCCTGGAGCGATATTAGCCGATCCAGTATACGCTTTGAGGAAAGGTCAGTGCAAAAAGTTTACTATTTCTCATGCTTTTCAGGGCTGTTAAACTGATTGTTTGATTTTAACAGTATTAAATTAATATACTAGTTTGGAGTAGGTTGCACAAAATGCTATGCTGTTTATCCATTCACCTATTTGTAATAACATGCGACAGGGGGAAGTGCGGGAACTGAGGTGTTGTATAGACAGTATTAATAAATAGGTAATAGGTACATGCTTCTTGAAATGAAAATTTATTATCATTAGGACAAGTTACTCTACATTCACTCACCAAATTTTACATATTTTAAACCAAATCAGAGAGCACCTTTAGCATCATTCTTGACGCATTAAGTTTCGGGCCCATTTTGACATGCGCGAAGCAGGCCCTACTTTTAACTGTGAATTCAGATCGAAAAGAGCTTTCGTGCAGGAGATGGCACCTTGACTTTGATACTTGTATACAAATTAAAATAATCGTGTGATAAATTTTACATGCCCACTTAAACTATTTGACTTTTACTTAAAACCAGAACGACAATGATATTAATACGCTGAACGCGATCCTTCCAATTCAACTATTGATGTTTCTATTAAAAGTCGTTAATATTACTAGTTCAAAGAAAACTACAGGACACATTATAGAGGTAGATAAGCACTCAAATTTTATAAAAAGCAAGCTTAGAGTGAGTAAATAATCACTATTGTAACACAGAATACTTATATAATAATTATAATATCGGAAATTGAAGTAGGTATGTACTTAAAAACATTCGAATTTTAATATCTACCCAAATACATAAAGACATCCACACATAAAGAAACCGCAACGTTGAGTTCGGGCGCTGAAACGAGAAGAATAGGTCAAGGTCAACCACGACAATTCTATCGTCAATTTTGGGATGCGCAGTAAGATCTCTCTTCGATATACGTATACATACATACATACATACTTCCCTATACATCAGCACACATACAGCCCTATACAGTTTGCGGACACAGTGTTTAGGAATTCAACTTGCGCGTTGTGCCTGGAACCGGGTGGTGGATGAGAAAGATGAATAGGCATTACATTTCTTATAACCAATAACCATTATTTATTAACTATTGACCCACGTTCCAATTAATTGTTGACCCACGTATTTGACCCCAGTAAATAGATCGGTCAGGTAATAACCCACCTAAAGTCGTGAAACTTTCTTGCTCGTCCCCAAAGTCTTTGGACGGCTCGATAGCATGAAACTTTTGCGGTGATGGCGATGCTTACTATAGTTAACACGGTGGGGAAATTCACTCGACCCTTGCGACGATCTGTGCTGTGACGTCGCGCACGTAGACTCGCTGATGATTGCGGAGGAGCCGTGGTTCCTCTCGCTTTGTTAATAATGTCATCAGCTCTATGATCTGGTTTCTAGTCACCAGCTTAACAAAATTGGTTGTCGGTTTTTCTCAACCTTTTCTGGTGTTAGAGAAGCGAGAGAGTCTTGGGTTATTCGTATTCTGTATATTTTGTACTAAAGCCTTTTCGGCAACTGGCTACTTTGGGAGGCTGAAACTGATTGGTAATAAATTATTGTGACCCTCAAGAACTCTTATATACTTAAATAGATATACTTATTTATTTATTAATATATTGGGAAACCGATAGCTACACATGACAAACGAATAGTGGCAAAACAACATCAGAAAGCCAATTACAGGTTTTCAGGGATAAATATCACATTAGTCAATTTGTGAAAACATCCACTATCCAAACAAACGCACCCTTTAGAAAAAAAACATACTAAAAAAAAAATAAGATTATATACCAACACAATACCAATTAATAATCCACTTAGTTACTAAATTCACTAATCAAATGAAAAACTGTTGGGTAAGCATCCTTCGCACCGTAGAAGTTCTCGTTACAAACGGATCTATTGGATACTTTTTGCAAAGGTTGTTAAGTCTCTGCTTTCACGTATTGTAAAGGAATTCTGCCTGTACCTCATTGAGGAATTTCGAATTAATAGTGGAGGATGGTAACGAATAGATCGACGGAGACATTGTAAGAAAGTTGGTGTAAGAGATCGGGACAGTAAATTTCATTTGAGATGATATCTTGGAATAGAAATGAGCCTTGGAATAGGACGGGGAAATAATAACTGAAATCTGTTAATGTCCCTGTTAATTATGACAAACTAACAGGCGCGCGATTGGTCCCCACCGATCGACCGTCTTATGCGCCGACACCGACGTTGCCGCATAAGACGGTCGATTTTTGCTTTTCACTAAAAACTTTCGTCCTAGTGAGGTCAAATACATATTTTCATCCGGGTTTTCGTGTGGAACGACAAGCATTTACCTTGATTCACAGGCTGGAAATAAATTATCGGTGTTAGTGTAACACAGAAAACGATTCACGCTTGCAACTAGGGTGGAATATCAGACATTTTGTGCTGATATTTGTGAATGTGTAGTAGAATTATGTAGATATCTCGTGGCTCTATTTATTTTAAATACAGAGTGACTTATAATTCGACGTGTTTCTCTTAGGATGTGATAACTAGTTACGGGCAGAAGTTAGTTATGTATAGAAATTCTGTTTACTGTTCTTGCATTATTCTGTGCACCGATGTTTGAAAACTACGAACGTCAAATAAATAGAATAAAATGTTGTGTTTTTGTGTTGTACCAATTTTAACAATGACAATACAAAATTATGTGTCTTATTTTAAGTTCGTTATCCTACCCTACGTGAGAATGTATGTATGTTAAACACTATATCACATAAAAAGTACAGAACAGAAGGTAATGAAATTAGTACTAAGTAAGATTATAGTCCAGAATGACATGTAAGGTCCTTTTTATTCTTGTTTAAAATAGCTGTTTTGTTGCTATTATCTCGTTACTGGCTGAACCTATTTTGATGCGGTGTTTAAAAGGGTTTGTCTCTTAGGAGCAGGTTTTATTATATTAACAGAGTTTATTATTAACCGACTGGAAAAGAAGTTATTTTTTTAAACATAGTTAGTTTCAAATTATTATTATAGAACCATGTTTCATACATTTTAAGCTTCTAGTGTTGTATGTGAGTTTTCTGTTAGTTTTTGGACTTGATACATTAAGTCCTTAACTTTTTCATTATAATTGGCTATGATAACTATTATTTGATTAATTTAAATATTTTGTTATAATTACTGGTAACTGACAACTCGGTTTTACAATACTAAATAGATGAAATGTTTGATATTTTTCCCAGCGCAGCGTCTTGAGATAACGTGTGTCGATTTCGTCACGCAAGTGGGTTAACTGCGCAAACGAAGCGAATAAATTCACGCCATGTTAAACATTGCTTAAAAAGCATTTTTTATTTTATATGTTTAGCTTATAAAAGACAATAAATACTCAAAAGTACTCAGGCTTAGCTAAAACGAAATGAATCAGAATAGATACACATAAATGGTGTATGGGAGACAAGAGGGCATTATCGAAATTGATGGCACCGCACTGAAAAGAAAGAGAAAAGTTAGTTGACTGCCTCATTGGCCGAGTGGTCGCAGGTGCGACTGCCGGGCAAGGGGTCTCGGGTTCGATTCCTGGGTCGGGCAAAGTATTACCAGGTTTTTAAAATTCTCAGTAGCACGGAGTCTGGAAATGTGCCCGTTTTATGGCAATAGGCTCACCCCCTATTACATGGGACTCATAACATAAATAGGGAAAGTGGGTGTTACATTGTACAGTGGCATTAAGCGCCGAGATGTGCAACTCTGCCTACCCCTTCGGGGATAAAAAGGCGTGATGTTATGTTTATGTGTGTCGGCACAAGGCGCGGTGCACCAAATACATCCAAATAAAAATAAATAAAGACTGACTTCATTCATTCTTCTTGTTTCGCACAAGCTAATTTTCTGTGGTATGCGATCGCGTAGGATGTCAGGGATTGTGTTGACTCGTTTAGCATTTAAGCAGAAACTTCGTGAATTTCTCCTGAAGCGGTTGGTTTAATGATTACGATGACTAAGTATTGACTGCGTGTAAATAGTATGTTATATTAATTTTTTATATATTATTTGTGTATTGTGTTATGTTATACGTGTATTCTTACATGTACAGTAACTTTTGCCCGTGCTTTCGTCCGCATGGGATATTGATTTCCACCATAATTCCGGATTATTTTTTTACGTATCGCCTTTTTTAAGGTTTTTCTATGGTGTCATGAGAACCAGTCCAATACCTTCGGTCACTGTGGTGTCAATGGATAGTTCTTATAATAAGAAAACAGTTTTCTTTGGCGACTTGTCCTTAATCCTTGTCCAATCTATGAGATACTGCTACTTGGTCCAATAGAAATGACTGGTGTGATTAGATTGGTCTTTTAAACAGGCGAAAAGATTCTGGCGGTTTAACTAAAACCCACGAGAAAGTCAAAATATTCGTTGCGAACACAGAAGCCTTGTTTCTGCTCCGTCGCTTCTTTAATGCTATTTGTATTAAAGTTGTAGATGTCTTGTCACGGGGATTTCTAATGTATGATACCTACAAAGATAATGTGAGGTATTCGAACCGTACTCAATGTCTAGTTTATCCTATGGACGCCCGTGTAAGACTCTGCAACCGGGTTTGACTGCCGGGTTGGACAATGTATCTATTGTTTGGCTTTTGGGAATCTTCAGTTGTTTCGAGTGATGTGCTATACAACATAAGTAACTGGCGATAACTGGTTGTTACATGTTATATGTGCACCTCCCTCTCTACGTACCATTTTGGGAAATATGTGTAAAGCTTCAAGAAATGTTTTTATGAACTCGCAATGTACGGTTCATCAGAAAAGTTTTTCTCCCTCCCTATTCTCCTGATTATACTAAATTTTGAAAGAGTATGTCACAATCAGATGCTTATTAGCCTTATAGAGGACTACATGTTAAAAATCACGCGCTGCTTGTTCTAGATCCGCGTGATGTGAAAATGATTTTCTTTCCTAAAGGTGTCTAGTTTAATGTAGTAAAACATTAATGTGCCGCAAAGAAGCTAAGTATGG